GCTCTGCTTCTCACCTGTGCCCGCCCCTCGCTCTGCTTCTCACCTGTGCCCGCCCCTCGCTCTGCTTCTCACCTGTGCCCGCCCCTCGCTCTGCTTCTCACCTGTGCCCGCCCCTCGCTCTGCTTCTCACCTGTGCGCGCCCCTCGCTCTGCTTCTCACCTGTGCGCGCCCCTCGCTCTGCTTCTCACCTGTGCGCGCCCCTCGCTCTGCTTCTCACCTGTGCGCGCCCCTCGCTCTGCTTCTCACCTGTGCGCGCCCCTCGCTCTGCTTCTCACCTGTGCCCGCCCCTCGCTCTGCTTCTCACCTGTGCCCGCCCCTCGCTCTGCTTCTCACCTGTGCCCGCCCCTCGCTCTGCTTCTCACCTGTGCCCGCCCCTCGCTCTGCTTCTCACCTGTGCCCGCCCCTCGCTCTGCTTCTCACCTGTGCGCGCCCCTCGCTCTGCTTCTCACCTGTGCGCGCCCCTCGCTCTGCTTCTCACCTGTGCGCGCCCCTCGCTCTGCTTCTCACCTGTGCGCGCCCCTCGCTCTGCTTCTCACCTGTGCGCGCCCCTCGCTCTGCTTCTCACCTGTGCCCGCCCCTCGCTCTGCTTCTCACCTGTGCCCGCCCCTCGCTCTGCTTCTCACCTGTGCCCGCCCCTCGCTCTGCTTCTCACCTGTGCCCGCCCCTCGCTCTGCTTCTCACCTGTGCCCGCCCCTCGCTCTGCTTCTCACCTGTGCCCGCCCCTCGCTCTGCTTCTCACCTGTGCCCGCCCCTCGCTCTGCTTCTCACCTGTGCGCGCCCCTCGCTCTGCTTCTCACCTGTGCGCGCCCCTCGCTCTGCTTCTCACCTGTGCGCGCCCCTCGCTCTGCTTCTCACCTGTGCGCGCCCCTCGCTCTGCTTCTCACCTGTGCCCGCCCCTCGCTCTGCTTCTCACCTGTGCCCGCCCCTCGCTCTGCTTCTCACCTGTGCCCGCCCCTCGCTCTGCTTCTCACCTGTGCCCGCCCCTCGCTCTGCTTCTCACCTGTGCCCGCCCCTCGCTCTGCTTCTCACCTGTGCGCGCCCCTCGCTCTGCTTCTCACCTGTGCGCGCCCCTCGCTCTGCTTCTCACCTGTGCGCGCCCCTCGCTCTGCTTCTCACCTGTGCGCGCCCCTCGCTCTGCTTCTCACCTGTGCCCGCCCCTCGCTCTGCTTCTCACCTGTGCCCGCCCCTCGCTCTGCTTCTCACCTGTGCCCGCCCCTCGCTCTGCTTCTCACCTGTGCCCGCCCCTCGCTCTGCTTCTCACCTGTGCCCGCCCCTCGCTCTGCTTCTCACCTGTGCCCGCCCCTCGCTCTGCTTCTCACCTGTGCCCGCCCCTCGCTCTGCTTCTCACCTGTGCGCGCCCCTCGCTCTGCTTCTCACCTGTGCGCGCCCCTCGCTCTGCTTCTCACCTGTGCGCGCCCCTCGCTCTGCTTCTCACCTGTGCGCGCCCCTCGCTCTGCTTCTCACCTGTGCGCGCCCCTCGCTCTGCTTCTCACCTGTGCCCGCCCCTCGCTCTGCTTCTCACCTGTGCCCGCCCCTCGCTCTGCTTCTCACCTGTGCCCGCCCCTCGCTCTGCTTCTCACCTGTGCCCGCCCCTCGCTCTGCTTCTCACCTGTGCCCGCCCCTCGCTCTGCTTCTCACCTGTGCCCGCCCCTCGCTCTGCTTCTCACCTGTGCCCGCCCCTCGCTCTGCTTCTCACCTGTGCGCGCCCCTCGCTCTGCTTCTCACCTGTGCGCGCCCCTCGCTCTGCTTCTCACCTGTGCGCGCCCCTCGCTCTGCTTCTCACCTGTGCGCGCCCCTCGCTCTGCTTCTCACCTGTGCGCGCCCCTCGCTCTGCTTCTCACCTGTGCCCGCCCCTCGCTCTGCTTCTCACCTGTGCCCGCCCCTCGCTCTGCTTCTCACCTGTGCCCGCCCCTCGCTCTGCTTCTCACCTGTGCCCGCCCCTCGCTCTGCTTCTCACCTGTGCCCGCCCCTCGCTCTGCTTCTCACCTGTGCCCGCCCCTCGCTCTGCTTCTCACCTGTGCCCGCCCCTCGCTCTGCTTCTCACTATCCACCACTTGCTGCAGCCCCTCCTTCGCCATCTGCCTCTGAAACACCTGCACGCCCTCCCATGCATGCACGCCCTCCCATGCATGCACGCCCTCCCATGCATGCACGCCCTCCCATGCATGCACGCCCTCCCATGCATGCACGCCCTCCCATGCATGCACGCCCTCCCATGCATGCACGCCTTCCCATGCATGCACGCATGCACACAAGCAGCAACGGCACACGGCAACAGAAAGGGATGAGCAACGCCATGCTTCAAAGCCAACCAAGCCTTTGGGGCCCAAACAGGACACAGGACGAGGAACGCTCGCCTCACATGCAGGGCGCTCACCCTCGCCTCACATGCAGGGCGCTCACCCTCCCTTTGATGCTGCGGCTCACCTTCTCCTCAATGGTGCCCGCTGCCAGGAAGCGGTACACAAACACACGCTTCTTCTGCCCGTCCCTCCACACACGCGCCGCCGCCTGCCGTCGCACACATGCCCCAGGGGGGCGACCCACACACATGGTGGCAGGGCACATGGCGCATGGGGAAAGGGCAGGGTGGGTGAGAAGCAGGTGGACTGGAGACACTTCACCACCCAAGCACGGCGCATGACTGTGCTTCTGCTGCCGCCCTGCACACCTGCCCCTTCCTGCCAACCTGACTCTTCTGCTGCACGGACTCTAAACTATCAACCTGCCAGCCACTTGCTCCGTACTTCACGCATCCCCCCTAGTTGCCGAGGCCCACCAAATACCCGGTTTCCACTAATGCATATGCTACCAGCGTACCTGCTTGTCGTTGGCGGGGTTCCAGTCGGGGTCAAAGAGCACGAGTCGGTTTCCGCCTATGAGGTTCAGCCCACACCCCCCCGCCTTGCTGCTCAGCAGAAACACAAACTCGTCCTGCCATGCCATGCCATGCCACGCCATGCCATGCGACGAAATGCCATGCCATGCGACGCCATGCCACGCCATATGCCACGCCATGCGACACACATGCATACAACGCACATGCATAGAACGCACACTAATGAACTGTGAGTGCAAGAGCACAGCGCCTCCCTCCGTCCACACGAGCATGTGGGTGAGGAGAGAAGCAGGGATGTGAGAAATTGCTGCACTCACGGCGTGGGGGTCGTTGAACTGCTGCACGAGCTTCTGCCTCTTGCCCACCGAGGTGCCTCCATCCAGCCGCACGAAGGGGTACCCATGCTCCCGGCACAGCTGCGCAAATAGGTCCAACGTCTGCCACCCAGAGAAAATGGAGGGGGGAGAGTGAGGGAAGCAGAGGGGGCAAGGGAAGACGTGGCGTGCAGGCGGGTTGGTGGCTGGCAGAGCAGCGAGCATGACGGTTTCAAGGGGCAACATCAGTGGCGTGGAGGTGGTAGGAGCACGCACCTGTGTGTAGTTGGAGACGAGTACGATGCGGTCCGTGGTGCGTGTGCGCAGGTGTGCCAGCAGCCGTGCCAGCACCACCATCTTGCCCGACAGCTGCACCCACGTGCCGCCCCCCCCGGTCCACGTGCCACTCCTGCCACCACACGGTGCAAGAGGCGGTGCAGTGCGGACGAAGGGTGGAGGGGTTGGGGGAGAGGCATTGAGAGTGATTGTGACAGGGATGACGCAAGCATGGGTGGATGTGAGTGAGGGGCCTCTTCCCAACCAGCATAGCATTGCAAACTGTGATGCCACTAGGTACGCACCTCCCATTGAACATTTCGGGTGGGAAGAGCGGGAGAGCGTCCTCAAAGCCAGCTGCCTCCGCCCCTCCGGCCCTGATGGAGTCATACAGCAGCTGCTCCCATGCATGCATGCATGCATGCACGCCCAACCAGCCCCCATGCACCCACCATGCACATGGTTGGTTAGTGGAGGAGGGTGCAGCATGAGAGGACGAGGTGACACGTGGGGCACTGCAGAGTGAATCCATGCGGTGATGCGCATTGTGGGATGTGTATGCATAGTGAGACGTGCATAGTGGATGTTCATAGTGGGACGGGCATAGTGGATGTTCATAGTGGGACGTGCATAGTGGGACGTGCACAGTGGATGTGCATAGTGGCATGTGCATAGTGGCATGTGCATAGTGGCATGTGCATAGTGGATGTGCATAGTGGCATGTGCATAGTGGCATGTGCATAGTGGCATGTGCATAGTGGCATGTGCATAGTGGATGTGCATAGTGGCATGTGCATAGTGGCATGTGCACAGTGGATGTGCATAGTGGCATGTGCATAGTGGCATGTGCATAGTGGCATGTGCATAGTGGCATGTGCATAGTGGATGTGCATAGTGGCATGTGCATAGTGGCATGTGCATAGTGGATGTGCATAGTGGCATGTGCAGGTCGCCGCACATCAGCAGGAGAGGCCTTTGCCACATCTCCTCACATCTCCTCACATCTCCTCACATCTCCTCACATCTCCTCACATCTCCTCACATCTCCTCACATCTCCTCACATCTCCTCACATCGCCTCACATCTCCTCACATCGCCTCACATCTCCTAACACACATCACGCCTATGCATCTCCATCAACAAGTTTTGAGTAAAACAGACCACATGACTTGTGGTGTGGACCTTCCACGGCTTGCTTCATACCCATTTAAAGTTGCTTGCCCACCTCCCATCCGACGCACCGTGAGATACTGCCCCCCAGCCAACCCACCTTGGGGTGGTTGCAGAGCTTCTTGAGGGCCGTGATGGACGCCAGCGCCCGCGCCTTCTTCCCGTCCTCCAGTGCCGTGCGCACCTGCATGCATGCACCCATGCACCCATGCATGCACACACGCACGCATGCACGCACGCACACATGCCGTTTCATGACATGCCATGCCATGCGAATGCACGAAATGGCTACCATATGAGCGCCAGGCAGGCATCATGGTGCATGCCGTAGCATGCCCTCCAACCCCAGGTTCAATAACGCATGGATAGCCATGGGGTGTGAAAAGCGGCTCACATTCTTAGAGTGAATGAATCGCTCGTACAGCTGCCGCTGCAGGTCCGTCATGCGGCAACACACTATCTCCACTATCTGTCACATGCATGCACATGCACACACATGCACATTCACACACATGCACATGCACATGCACATGCGCACACACCCGCAGGGGAGATTAGCATTGAAGTGCAGGTAGAAAGAGGTGATGGATGTGCTGCCAGGGGCGCACACACACACACACACGCGCGCTCACAGGTGCAACGTGGGTGAAAAGCCCAACGGGGGAGGCAGGAGGGAGGAGCAGACCTTGGGAGGCAGGTGGTTGGAGAGGAGCGCGTTGGTGCGGCGTAGAATGAACTGCCGGGCACAAGCGGGCAGGGGGCACAGGCAGGTGGGGGCAGGGGGCACAGGCAGGTGGGGGCAGGGGGCACAGGCAGGTGGGGGCAGGGGACAGGAGGGGAGGCGATTAGAAGGGGGGCAGAGGAGAAGTGGGCATATGACAGCAAATGCACGGATGGGCACGTGGCTCCACTGCATGCCCCACTCGTCTACCACCCTCTGTGTGCACTCGCGCCCCCACCCTCCCCCTACCTGGTTGACGCGGTCACTCAGCTCCGCAGATCGCTGCGCCCCCAGGGCCCTCTCCTCCTCCGATGCCTGCGGCTCCCTCCCCGCCAAAATGGGCGCCTGCCCGTGCCATGCCGGTGCCACCGTGGGTGATGAAATAGTGGAGAAAGGTCGCAGCAAGCGCGATACACACGCAGGAGGTGTGTGATTCGATGTGAGAAGAGTCGAGACACGACTCGGTCATAGCAAGCATGACATGGGTGCAGTATGGGAGGACAATTTGGAAAAATCGAGGGAAACGAGGGGGAATAGGAGCGGGCCAGTTGGTGGAGCAGAGGGCGAGGTGGGACGTGGGGGAGGTGGCACCTGGAAGTGGCGTCGGAAGTGGGCGGCGTTGCTAAGCACGCCCGGGTTGGTGAAAGACACCATGGCGTAGAACTCCTCCAGATCGTTCTGCACCACCCCCCACCACACCAGTCCGCACAGCACCACAGAAAGAAAGATTAGTGAAGTGGATGAGGCAGAGAGCAGAGTGTTCATCCGTGAAAGCAACTGTTGGAGTGCCATGCCTCGCTACCCATCGCCCTGCAACTGCGTCTGAAACTATGCGGTTAGTTAAGGTCGAGTCAGGGGGTAGTACAGCAGAGCAGCGCATTGCATAGCATGGCCCTGTATGGGGCATGCACCTGAATGGCATGGCCCTGTATGGGGCACGCACCTGAATGGCATGGCATGGCACGCACCTGCATGGCATGGCATGGCCCTGTATGGGGCACGCACCTGCATGGGAGTGCCAGAGAGCAGCACTCGGCGCCTGCAAGGCAGTCCTGCCAGCGCCTGACCACCACACAGGGGGACACGCCAGAGGCCAGGGGTGGGGGCCGGGGGAGCGAACGGACGAAGCAAGGCGTGAGGAGGAGGATGGATGGATGGAGGATGAAGGACACAGAGCGGCAGGCAGGTGGTAAATGAACTGTGGGCACGTGAATTGGGAGATCATCTGTGGTGATTGCTCACATGTGTGGTGAGGGTGCTCACCTGCGTGGCAAGGGGGGCTACCTGGGTGGTGAGCGTACGGTCGTTCTTGAGGCGATGCGCCTCATCACAGATCACCAGGTCGCACGCCCCGTCGTGGTGGAACGCTGTGGCGTGCAGGCGGAACGTCTCGTACGACACTATCAGCACCTGCGAGGGGGGGTCATGTCACAGTGCCACACGAACCATGCTTCATGTCACAGTGCCACACCAACCATGCTTCATGTCACAGTGCCACACCAACCATGCTTCATGTCACAGTGCCACACGAACCATGCTTCATGTCACAGTGCCACACGAACCATGCTTCATGTCACAGTGCCACACCAACCATGCTTCATGTCACAGTGCCACACGAACCATGCTTCATGTCACGGCCAACTCCCACGTTCCATGCCAAGTGCTGGGGCTCATGATAAGCCCAACAGTGCCAATCACTCTCACATATGCTGTATGCCCTGCCACTCACTCAACCCCCCACATGCTGCGCGCCCCGTACTCACATGGTGAGTGCCGCGCGGAGCCAGGAACTGCTGGATGCCTTTGAGGGCGTCGGCACGGCTGGCCTCACACAGCGCCACGCAGCGCACGCGGCCGCCCAGCCACTTGTCCAGCTCCGCCGCCCAGTTGCTCACCAGGCTCGTGGGCGTGACTATGAGCGCTCGCCGCACCAGCGGCGGCCCCTTGGGCCCCTGGAAGCCCTGCTTCAGCAGCGTCCACAGCAGCGCTATCGACTGCAGCGTCTTGCCGAGCCTGGGCGGGGCCGGGGGGGATGGCAAACAGGCAATGCACGGGCGAGGGAGAATGGTTGAGATGAGATGCGATGAGATGGGAAGAGATGAGATGAGAAGGGAGGCAAAAGAGTGCGTACCGTGCATGGCAGGGCCGTACCCCATGGGAGCGAGGGAGGGAGGTGGGGAGGGCGTTACCCCATGTCATCAGCGAGGATGCAGCCATAGCAGCCGAGGTCATCGTCGCCTTGCTGGTGGAAGTCCTTGAGCCCCGCCACACACTCAAACATGAACGCCACTCCCTCCCTGCCACCGCCGCCCACCACACACAACACACACAGCACACGCACACGCACATATACACATGTGAAGAATAGGCAGCAGAAGATGGCAGCAGATGATTTCTACAAGCCGCCTGGGGAGAAGTTGGGTGGCAGTGGGGCGCATGGAGTGGGGGGGGGGCGCACCGCTGGTGGGCGCGGAGGCACTTGGCGAGGATGGGGTCGACGGCGATGGGCTGTGACTGCTCACACGCGTGGAACGGATCCTCCTCCGGCACCCACAGCACCAATGGCTCATACCCCGCCTCCGCTGCCGCCACTGTCGCCGCCCCCTCCTCCTCGCCTTGCCCCGGCTTGCCCTCCTCACTGGCCTCTTCTGTCTCCTGCTCGAAAACGGGCGCCATGACCAGGGGTCGGCGGTGCACGCCCCCTCCCCACGCCACGAAGCGGCGGCATGCAGCGAGGCGCCTGAGCAGCTCGGGGGAGGCGCTGGTGGTGGCACCGGGGCACGGCGACTTGAAGGGGCGGCGCAGCACCGCCGCGTCCTGTGACACGGACAGCATGCGCGGCAGCAGCGCCCTCCTGCACACCTCCACGTCGCCTCTGCGAGTTGGGGGGAACAGAAGGGTTGAGGGGGAGTGCAAGGGGGTTGGGCGCAGGGGTGTTGGGGTTGGACGAGGGTCACTGTGATTCACCTGAAACAGCTATTCACCTGAAACAGCTATTCACCTGAAACAGCTATTTCACCTGAGACAGCTATTCACCTGAGACAGCTATTTCACCTGAGACAGCTATTCACCTGAGACAGCTATTCACCTGAGACAGCTATTCACCTGAGACAGCTATTCACCTGAGACTGCTATTCACCTGAGACAGCTATTTCACCTGAGACTGCTAATCGTCTGAGACTGCTATTTCACCTGAGACAGCTATTCACCTGAGACAGCCATTCACCTGAGACAGCTATTTCACCTGAGACAGCTATTCACCTGAGACTGCTATTCACCTGAGACAGCTATTTCACCTGAGACTGCTAATCGTCTGAGACTGCTATTTCACCTGAGACTGCTAATCGTCTGAGACTGCTATTTCACCTGAGACTGCTAATCGTCTGAGACTGCTAATCATCTGAGACTGCTAATCGTCTGAGACTGCTAATCATCTGAGACTGCTATTCACCTGAGGACGGCCGCCACGTTGGCAGCCTTCATGGCAGCCACTGACGGCTCCTCGTCGCCACTCTCCTCGCTCTTCGCCCCCCTCGCTCCACGCCTCGCTCGCCGTCCAACGCTCCTCACGCCGCTCGCTCCTCGCTGCACGCGTTTCGCTGCCGCTGTTTTCGTCGCCGCTGCTTTGGTCGCCGCTGCCTTAGCCGCTGCCTTGGTCGCCGCCTTGCCGTTGCCCTGCTTCCTCCGGCCCCCTGCCCCCTCCTCTGCGCTCGAGCCGCCTTCCTGCTCGATCCAATCGCCGTCGTCGTCGTCGTCGCCGTCATTGTCCCCACCCTCGTCGCAACTGTTGTCGCCGCCATAATCCTCGTCGCGACTGTCGCCGCCGTCGCACTCGTCGTCGCTGGACTCACTCACCACCACCTCATCACTCTCCGACCCCGACATTCTTCGCAGCCCGTGCGATCACGATGGCGATGACGACAAGCCGCACTAGAAAACGGAAGCACGCGGGCACGTCGTCGCAGCAACGACGCCCGGCGAGACTATTGCGGGAACATGCAACGAAGGCGCATCGGCAAGATACGGAGTGGCGGGACGAAACAGACAAGTAATGTGAAATGAGTCCCAATGATGGCAACTGTTGTTCTTGGAATGACTATGGAAGTTCTACGAGAGCGGAATGAGCGTCTAGGTTATGCTGTGGGTGGGCTGGCACGGGTGGCGAGGCGACGGGCGATGATGGTGCAGACTGACTGACTAGCTGCAGCATCCATGGAACCAGCAATTCTAGGCAGAAGAAATCAAGGTAGCGTCACGATCACGTCGAGGGCCGCAGAGCACACGAATATATGGGAATAAGTACACTCCAATCAAATGCAGGATATAACATTTGAATGCCGATTTGAGCCATATATTTTACTGGAGGGTGAATTGCAACATCTCAAAGCACAAATTTGAAGTCCCAGCTCTGCAGTCCCAGTACCAGCTTCTTCTAATGTTTTTCGAAGTTTCAGGACGCGGTCAAAGTGGGAGGTTCGCAGGATCGCGATTGTCTTTTGAGCCCCAGAATCGATTGGGCGGGTCGATTGGCGAAACGAGGGGCCCGCTTGGTTGTAACGATCGCCCCAGCGTGATGGGTTGGCTCTTCCACAATCGATATTTTGGGTTTGCTTGTGACACCGTCGAAGAAAACCCCGGACTGCCCTACAACACTTGCGACATTTCGCAGCCCACAGGGCAACCAAAGGCCCATATTGCGGGAATTATGCGCGACTCCATTCACCCGCTTTGCGAAATTACAGCACTTCGCTGGCATCAACATCAATCGTGCCTGTTGCGATTGGTTCGTGAACATCATCTGCACAGTGATGCCTCGGAAAGTTGAACACCGATCATTGATCAGTCGCATTCACTACCTGTGTACAATATGTCGACAAAATCGATACTGTAGCATGGTTACAAGTCCGTAAACAGGGTAACTGATCCGCACATCGATCGCAGCTCACGATCGATCCTCTACTTTGACCGCGTCCTCAAGACATTATGCGCCTTTAGGTAATTGAGCGGTGGATATTGGTTATGCATCGTACAGTTAGGTCATCCCTAGAAGTGTTAGCCTCTGTCACGCTTCGTCAGATGCTCGCACACACCTTCCCCCATCGCTGAACCCCCCGCGGCTCCCCGCGATGGGCATCCACTCCATCTTGCGCCAGGCGCGCGCGCAGGGCTGGCGGGATGACACGGTCGAGTACGCCATTTTCCCCGACCCCGGCTCCTTCGAGCTGCCGCCCCTCGCGCCGGGTCAAGCGGCGGCGAGCGATGAGGCGGTGCAGCGCGGGCTGGAGGCACTGCGCGTGGCGTGCCTCGACATCGCGGCGAGGCACGCGGGCGACATGCGGTGGAACCGCGACCCCTTCCAGCTCTGGCCCGCGCCGCCCCTCGCGCGAGACGCGGCGGAGCAGGCGGTGCGCGGCGATGAGGGGGAGGGCGAGGAGGATCCGCCGTTCCGATGGCGCGACAGGGACGACGGCGTGGCGTGGGGACTGCATGATGACGACGAGGAGGGGGACGAGGGGGAGGGGGACGAAGGGGAGAGGGCGGACAGTGCAGGAGGAGCGGATAAGCGCGCGGGGGAGCGGGGGCAGGCGGGCGTGCCGGCGCACCTATACGGGCGCACGCAGTACGGCGCGAGTGTGGAGGACGAGTGGGTGGTGGTGTGGCTGCTGCTGCGCATCTCCGCCTGCCTGCCCTTCCTCTCCATCCGTACGCGCGCTCACGTGCGCCCTCCCGCTCCCCCGCTCCGCCCGTGACGTGCGCTCCCTCGTCCGCCATGCCAGTGCCCCCCCGCGCGCCTGCATGCACATACTAGCAGCCCTGGTCTGCCACCACGCCTCCCATTCGCTGCTCCACTGCGCCCCTCCCACGTTATGTCCCCATGCATGCACCCCCCCTGTCCCCGCCCACACCCCCAGGAGTGCGCGACGGCGATGGGGACTTTGTGCTGATCGAGGCGGCCACGGTGCTGCCCAAGTGGGTGGCGCCCTCCTGTGCGCGCAACCGCCTCCTGCTGCGCCAGGTCCGCCCCCTCTCTCTCCAACCCGCGCCGCATGCCCCCCCTACCTTCGCCGCCTCACTCCGCTGCTCCCTGCTCTCCTCCTTGCCACTCCAACCCTCACCTCCTCCCAACCGCCCCACACGCCTCTCTCCTCTCTATCCCTCCCTTCCCCATTGCCCCTCATCCCCCCCTCCCATTGCCCCTCATCCCCCCCCCCCCCATTGCCCCTCATCCCCCCCTGCCCCCAGGGTCGCCTGCACCTGGTGCATCCGCGTCTGCGCCGCCCGCCCTACCGCCCAGCAGCGCTGCACAGCGCACTGGCCGCTGTGCGCAGTGCCGACGAGCCCACGGAAGCTTCTGAGAAGATTCATCGCGCCGTGATGAGCCGCCTGGAAGGGCTCCCAGGCTCTGCGCTGGCAGCCGTGCACACTGCCAGGTGTCGCCTTCCTATTCGTGCAGCACAGGTCAGTGCACGGGCTGCCGCCCAGTCAGGATCGTGTGTCCCCCGCTCGCCCCCATTCCCCTCTGTGCCCCTGCTGCTGCATTCCCATTCCATCTCTGCTTCCTCCCTCCTCTTCCCTCCCCCCATCCCCAGGCATTGCAGCAGGACCCCTACCTGGCCACACTGGCAGCCCACGCCTTCCTCAACAGAGACTATGCTGCCTCCTCCCCTTCCCACACACCCTCTCCCTCCCGCCACCCCTCACAGCCCCTCCCCCTCTTCCTCCCCCACACCTCCTGCCCCTGCGCCCTCGCATCCTCCCGGCCCCCTGCGCCCCCCACCACATCCGCCAACGCCATTCCCAACCCCCCCGTCCCTGCGTCCTCTCCCCCGCCCTGTGTGGTGGTGGTGGACGTGATGGTGGGGCTCCCCCGCGCCTGCTACGCGCAGCTCGCGCTGCTGCCCTTCTCCCCCCCGCGCGCCTTCCCCCTGCCCTTCCCCTCCGACCCTCTCTATCCCGCCGCCCTGCTCGGCTGCAAGCTCGCCCTCGGCCTGCACCTGCTCTCGCAGGGGGCGGGCGTGGGGGGTGGGGGGAGGGGCAAGAGCAAGGGGGGGGGTGAGGGGAAAGGGAGAGGGAGAGCGTGAGAGGGGAGGGTGGGGAAGGGGGTGTGGAAGGAGCAGGGGAGAGCAGGGAAGTACAGGTGTGTGAGTGTGATAAAGTGGTGGTGCTGCCAGGGATGGCAGGGGGTGAGGGCCATGGAGCGGGCGGTGGGGGCAGTGGGAGGGCAGAGCTGAGCGAGTGGGGCGACCTGCTGCCGTGCCTCACACACGCGGGGCTCTTCCATTCCCCCCACCCGCCCTCTGCTCCCTCCAACCCTGCCGCTGCTGCTGCTGGGGCTGCTGTGGGGGGCGAGGAGCAGGGGGCGAGTGGGGCAGTGGGGGAGGAGTGGAGAAGGGCAATAGAGAAGGAGATGGAGAATCGGTTCAAAGCGGTGCAGCGGTTTGCACAGCTCAGGTGAGATTGGTGGGGGGGAGGGGAGGGAGGGGTTGAGGAGGAGGGCAGCAGGCAGAGGGACGCTGCTTTGCTCACTCACACTGCAATCACTCCCTCTTGTGGTCCCCTCCCCTGCTCTGCCCCACTCTCTCTTCTCTCAACACCCCACCTGCCTTTACCATCTCGCACTCATCCAACCCCCTCCCTCTTCTTCAAACCGCCCTCCCTCACCCACCCCTCCGCAGCGCCACAGCGGCTGATCCAGCAGCGCGCATCTACTCGCTGCTGGCAGAGCAGCCCGCCCCGCACCCGTCGGCCTTCTCACGAGCAGCGCTGCGAGTGGACGACAGCGAGCAGTGGATGGGCGACGCCGTGCGAGCCATGGAGGCCCGCCTGGGCCAGCAGCAGGCGGAGGGGCAGGGGGGGGGCAGGGGGGGAAGGGGCGGGCGAAAAGGGGGGCGTGGGGGGGAGCGGGAAGGGGGAAGGAATGGGGTGCGGGAGAAGGGGAGGGAAGGGAAGAGTGGCAAGGCGGGGAGGAAGGAGGGCGAGGAGGTGCAGGGAGAAGAGGAGGCGGGGGAGGAGGAGGCGGGGCAGTTGTTGGAGCGGCTGAAACGATTCGTGTCCGGCGTGTCTGGGTTTGAGGGCGTGGAGGCGGAAGGGGGTGGTGATGGCAGTGATGGGGGCGAGAGTGGGAGGGGGGGAAGTTGTGAGGAGGAGGAAAGCGGTGGCGGGGAGGGGAATGAAGGGGATGGAAGTGGTGAGAGTGATGAGGAGGGGCAAGAGGAGAGGGAGGAAGTGCAGCGGGTGAGTGTGGAGGGTGGTGTGGGATTGCAGGAAGAGGAGGATGATGGTGACGAGGATGGCGGGGAGGTGGTGATGGGGCGGGAGAAGCTGAGGGAGTTTGAGAGGTTTATGGAGGAGTTGGAGGGGGTGATGGAGCGGTACAGTGAGGAGGAGGTGAAGGGGTTCCGTGGCGATGGCAGCTCAGAGAGCGAGGAGGACGACAACAGCGAGTCTGCCTTCTTCTCAGGTCGGCCTCCCGCCCTCCCATCACCTTCTGCCTCTTTGCCTGCTGTTATTTTACATAATCTTGTCAGAGAGGTACTTGGTTCGGATAATTTAAACCGGATGAGATTGGGATAACAAATTTTCACCTAACCCACGAAGAGCTGACCGATATTGAATGTGGTGCGCAAAGTTGACAGCCTTATTTGAACATTTTCCCATCGCATTTGCCCTCCCCCCCCTGCACGCGCCCCTGTGTGATTGTCTCAGAGCCGGGCAGTGACAGCGACTGGGAGGATGTCAGTGACGCAGGCAGCCCGGGGGAGGAGGGCGAGGAGGAGGAGCGTGAAAGCAAGGGGCGTATCTCGGGGCCATTGGTGGTGGGCGGTGGTGGCAGGGGCAGTGTAGGTGCAGGTAGGGGTGCAGGCGGGGGTGAGAGTGGGGCGGGTGAGGGCAGTGCGGTGGCAGGCAGGGGGGGCGCGGCAACAGGCCTGCGCCGGGGCTTCTTTGGTGGGGGAGGAGGGCAGCGGGGGAAGCAGAATGGGGAGGCGAGGAGGGGGGAGGAAGGGGAGATGAAGAGAAGAGATAAGGGCAAGGGGAAAGTGGTGGAGGAGAAGGAGCGGGAAGGGAGAAGGAGTGGGAAGCGAGGGGTGGGGGAAGGCAGCAGCAGGGGAGGGGGTGAGGGCGGAGGGGCGGGAGAGAATGACTTCTATTCACTCTACTCCAAGGCCATGGCCGCCCAGCTCGCCCCCACCCATGTGCCCTCCTCCTCGCTGCCACTGTCCCCGCACACCCAGGTACGGTACGCATGGATGGTGCACCTTGGCCGCAAGCACTGCGTGCTTGCCATTCCAGCACAGGCACATGCCTCTCTGCCCCGCGTGCCCACCGCACTGCTCCTCACGCGCACTCTGACACGCCCCCCACCCTCCTCCCTGTGTCTCTCTCCCCTCCCCACCCCGCCCTCCCTTCAGCGCCCCAAGGCCAGCAGCAGCAGGGCGGGGCGGGCAGCATCAGTGGCAGCAGGGGGAGGGGAGGGGGCAGCGGAGGAGGAGGAGGCACGGCGGGTGGTGGGCAGCCTGCAGATGGCAGCGCGCCTGCAGGGGGGGCTACCAGGGCCCGCTGCACTGCTGCTGGACGCTGTGAAGGGGGACGGCGGGGTAAAGAGGGGCGGAAAGGGGAAGCGGGGGAGGGGTGGAGGTAGGAGGAGGAGATGAGCGAGAGGTAGTGATGGCAAAGAGTATTTTGTGTATGAATCAGTTTGAAAGTGCAGGCACTGTGTGAATGGTCCAGTGCACGAGTGGAATGTTCGGCTGCCTACTGTGATGCCGCCTGCCAAGCCCACTTTCTGCCACACACACATGTGTGCGTCCAAGCACCCAACCACTCACCCAATGCAGCATGCATGGACAGCTAGCAGAATGGGCCAACCCTGTGCCATAGGGGCAAGCACCATGCACCTGTTGCAAGGTGATGCATCACTGTAGCGCATCGTTGAATACGAGTTAGTGTCGGCTTGGGCTGTGAGGGACAGACCCGCATGCTTGTTCAGATGGGGTTTCATGACAGCATGTGGTGTGGTAGGCGGCATTCCTGTGCAGCTGAGCCCAGCCTCGCCCCCATGCGCCACACAACCATAACCACAACACAACACAACAAAAATCACATGGGCTTTCCTTTCCAAGTCGCATCTGTTGCTGTAGTACTGGTGCGGATACCAACCTTGTGAGACCATGTGCCTCCCTGATTTGCCCCACTCTTGCTCTCAAATTCTGAACTGAACACACGTGGCCAAGGATGGATAGCTTTGACACTTGATTCTAAGAATAGCTTCACTTGAGTGCTGGCCATGCTATAGTGCAGCCAAGCACCTACGGTACTCAGCAATGCATGCCTGTGTGCCATGGCCTAGCGATGGCACAGGCGTCCTAGGTACCCGCATGGCAGTGCATGCACACACATGCCGTCAGTGGCCGCCCAGCAGGCAGTCCGCGATCATGCTCCTGCAGGGGGGACACAACACGGCACACACACGCGTGAGAGGTACGACCAATGTCCCACACACATGAGAGGTACGACCAATGTCACACACACATGAGAGGTACGACCAATGTCCCACACACATGAGAGGTACGACCAATGTCACACACACATGAGAGGTACGACCAATGTCCCACACACATGAGAGGTACGACCAATGTCCCACACACATGAGAGGTACGACCAATGTCCCACACACATGAGAGGTACGACCAATGTCCCACACACATGAGAGGTACGACCAATGTCCCACACACATGAGAGGTACGACCAATGTCCCACACACATGAGAGGTACGACCAATGTCCCACACACATGAGAGGTACGACCAATGTCCCACACACATGAGAGGTACGACCAATGTCCCACACACATGAGAGGTACGACCAATGTCCCACACACATGAGAGGTACGACCAATGTCCCACACACATGAGAGGTACGACCAATGTCCCACACACATGAGAGGTACGACCAATGTCCCACACACATGAGAGGTACGACCAATGTCCCACACACATGAGAGGTACGACCAATGTCCCACACACATGAGAGGTACGACCAATGTCCCACACACATGAGAGGTACGACCAATGTTCCCACACACATGAGAGGTACGACCAATGTCCCACACACATGAGAGGTACGACCAATGTCCCACACACATGAGAGGTACGACCAATGTCCCACACACATGAGAGGTACGACCAATGTCCCACACACATGAGAGGTACGACCAATGTCCCACACACATGAGAGGTACGACCAATGTCCCACACACATGAGAGGTACGACCAATGTCCCACACACATGAGAGGTACGACCAATGTCCCACACACATGAGAGGTACGACCAATGTCCCACACACATGAGAGGTACGACCAATGTCCCACACACATGAGAGGTACGACCAATGTCCCACACACATGAGAGGTACGACCAATGTCCCACACACATGAGAGGTACGACCAATGTCCCACACACATGAGAGGTACGACCAATGTCCCACACACATGAGAGGTACGACCAATGTCCCACACACATGAGAGGTACGACCAATGTCCCACACACATGAGAGGTACGACCAATGTCCCACACACATGAGAGGTACGACCAATGTCCCACACACATGAGAGGTACGACCAATGTCCCACACACATGAGAGGTACGACCAATGTCCCACACACATGAGAGGTACGACCAATGTCCCACACACATGAGAGGTACGACCAATGTCCCACACACATGAGAGGTACGACCAATGTCCCACACACATGAGAGGTACGACCAATGTCCCACACACATGAGAGGTACGACCAATGTCACACACACATGAGAGGTACGACCAATGTCCCACACACATGAGAGGTACGACCAATGTCCCACACATATGAGAGGTACGACCAATGTCCCACACACATGAGAGGTACGACCAATGTCCCACACACATGAGAGGTACGACCAATGTCCCACACACATGAGAGGTACGACCAATGTCCCACACACATGAGAGGTACGACCAATGTCCCACACACATGAGAGGTACGACCAATGTCCCACACACATGAGAGGTACGACCAATGTCCCACACACATGAGAGGTACGACCAATGTCCCACACACATGAGAGGTACGACCAATGTCCCACACACATGAGAGGTACGACCAATGTCCCACACACATGAGAGGTACGACCAATGTCCCACACACATGAGAGGTACGACCAATGTCCCACACACATGAGAGGTACGACCAATGTCCCACACACATGAGAGGTACGACCAATGTCCCACACACATGAGAGGTACGACCAATGTCCCACACACATGAGAGGTACGACCAATGTCCCACACACATGAGAGGTACGACCAATGTCCCACACACATGAGAGGTACGACCAATGTCCCACACACATGAGAGGTACGACCAATGTCCCACACACATGAGAGGTACGACCAATGTCCCACACACATGAGAGGTACGACCAATGTCCCACACACATGAGAGGTACGACCAATGTCCCACACACATGAGAGGTACGACCAATGTCCCACACACATGAGAGGTACGACCAATGTCCCACACACATGAGAGGTACGACCAATGTCCCACACACATGAGAGGTACGACCAATGTCCCACACACATGAGAGGTACGACCAATGTCCCACACACATGAGAGGTACGACCAATGTCCCACACACATGAGAGGTACGACCAATGTCCCACACACATGAGAGGTACGACCAATGTCCCACACACATGAGAGGTACGACCAATGTCCCACACACATGAGAGGTACGACCAATGTCCCACACACATGAGAGGTACGACCAATGTCCCACACACATGAGAGGTACGACCAATGTCCCACACACATGAGAGGTACGACCAATGTCCCACACACATGAGAGGTACGACCAATGTCCCACACACATGAGAGGTACGACCAATGTCCCACACACATGAGAGGTACGACCAATGTCCCACACACATGAGAGGTACGACCAATGTCCCACACACATGAGAGGTACGACCAATGTCCCACACACATGAGAGGTACGACCAATGTCCCACACACATGAGAGGTACGACCAATGTCCCACACACATGAGAGGTACGACCAATGTCCCACACACATGAGAGGTACGACCAATGTCCCACACACATGAGAGGTACGACCAATGTCCCACACACATGAGAGGTACGACCAATGTCCCACACACATGAGAGGTACGACCAATGTCCCACACACATGAGAGGTACGACCAATGTCCCACACACATGAGAGGTACGACCAATGTCCCACACACATGAGAGGTACGACCAATGTCCCACACACATGAGAGGTACGACCAATGTCCCACACACATGAGAGGTACGACCAATGTCCCACACACATGAGAGGTACGACCAATGTCCCACACACATGAGAGGTACGACCAATGTCCCACACACATGAGAGGTACGACCAATGTCCCACACACATGAGAGGTACGACCAATGTCCCACACACATGAGAGGTACGACCAATGTCCCACACACATGAGAGGTACGACCAATGTCCCACACACATGAGAGGTACGACCAATGTCCCACACACATGAGAGGTACGACCAATGTCCCACACACATGAGAGGTACGACCAATGTCCCACACACATGAGAGGTACGACCAATGTCCCACACACATGAGAGGTACGACCAATGTCCCACACACATGAGAGGTACGACCAATGTCCCACACACATGAGAGGTACGACCAATGTCCCACACACATGAGAGGTACGACCAATGTCCCACACACATGAGAGGTACGACCAATGTCCCACACACATGAGAGGTACGACCAATGTCCCACACACATGAGAGGTACGACCAATGTTCCCACACACATGAGAGGTACGACCAATGTTCCCACACACATGAGAGGTACGACCAATGTCCCACACACATGAGAGGTACGACCAATGTCCCACACACATGAGAGGTACGACCAATGTTCCCACACACATGAGAGGTACGACCAATGTCCCACACACATGAGAGGTACGACCAATGTCCCACACACATGAGAGGTACGACCAATGTCCCACACACATGAGAGGTACGACCAATGTCCCACACACATGAGAGGTACGACCAATGTCCCACACACATGAGAGGTACGACCAATGTCCCACACACATGAGAGGTACGACCAATGTCCCACACACATGAGAGGTACGACCAATGTCCCACACACATGAGAGGTACGACCAATGTCCCACACACATGAGAGGTACGACCAATGTCCCACACACATGAGAGGTACGACCAATGTCCCACACACATGAGAGGTACGACCAATGTCCCACACACATGAGAGGTACGACCAATGTCCCACACACATGAGAGGTACGACCAATGTCCCACACACATGAGAGGTACGACCAATGTCCCACACACATGAGAGGTACGACCAATGTCCCACACACATGAGAGGTACGACCAATGTCCCACACACATGAGAGGTACGACCAATGTCCCACACACATGAGAGGTACGACCAATGTCCCACACACATGAGAGGTACGACCAATGTCCCACACACATGAGAGGTACGACCAATGTCCCACACACATGAGAGGTACGACCAATGTCCCACACACATGAGAGGTACGACCAATGTCCCACACACATGAGAGGTACGACCAATGTCCCACACACATGAGAGGTACGACCAATGTCCCACACACATGAGAGGTACGACCAATGTCCCACACACATGAGAGGTACGACCAATGTCCCACACACATGAGAGGTACGACCAATGTCCCACACACATGAGAGGTACGACCAATGTCCCACACACATGAGAGGTACGACCAATGTCCCACACACATGAGAGGTACGACCAATGTCCCACACACATGAGAGGTACGACCAATGTCCCACACACATGAGAGGTACGACCAATGTCCCACACACATGAGAGGTACGACCAATGTCCCACACACATGAGAGGTACGACCAATGTCCCACACACATGAGAGGTACGACCAATGTCCCACACACATGAGAGGTACGACCAATGTCCCACACACATGAGAGGTACGACCAATGTCCCACACACATGAGAGGTACGACCAATGTCCCACACACATGAGAGGTACGACCAATGTCCCACACACATGAGAGGTACGACCAATGTCCCACACACATGATAGGTACGACCAATGTCCCACACACATGAGAGGTACGACCAATGTCCCACACACATGAGAGGTACGACCAATGTCCCACACACATGAGAGGTACGACCAATGTCCCACACACATGAGAGGTACGACCAATGTCCCACACACATGAGAGGTACGACCAATGTCCCACACACATGAGAGGTACGACCAATGTCCCACACACATGAGAGGTACGACCAATGTCACACACGCACTGCTCAAAAGAACATGAGTGAGCATGCGGAAGAGGTTGCAAGGCAAGAGGAGGCAGGGCGCCAAGGAGGAACCATGTCGGGACTCGTTCTCCTCGCCCGCTCACCTCTCGCACTGCCTGAGCCACTGAGCATAGCTCGCACTGCCCGCCCTCCCCCGTGCCAGAAACGCCTCTGGCAGCCCCGCCACCCCCACCGCTCCACCCGCACCTGCTCCCCCTCCTCCCTCCTCTGCCTTCCTCTGTCCCCCCTCCCCGTTCTCCCTTTTCCTTTCTGCTCCCCCTCCCCCGGCCCTTTCCCCCACCCACCCTCCTGCTCCCACCACGCCCCAGCGGCAGCTGCAGCAGAGAGGGGTGGATGAGGAGTGTAGGGGCGGGGCAGGGGCGGCGGCTGATGGAGCAACACCAGAAGCAGGGGGGTCAGGCGGGGGTGGGGGGGCGAGAGCAGGCGGGGGGAGAGGGGCGAGGCAGATGGCGCAGAGGGGGAGAGGGGGAGAGTCAGCAGCGGTGGGGGAGGGGGGTGCGAGGGAGGGGGGGAGGTTGAAGGGGAAGGGTTGCAGTTTGAGGGCGGTACGGGTCACAGTGAACTGCCGCCCGCTGCTCTCCCTCTGCAGCCCCTCCAGGAACGATGCCGCCAGCGCATTGATGCTCCCCGCCCCCCCTGTGGCCCCGCTCCCTGCTCCTCGCCGCAGGGAGGCACGAGTGGCGAGGGAGGCAGGAGTGGCGAGGGAGGGGTTGAAGGCAGTGCGGAGGCGGGAGAGGTGCGCGAGCAGGGCGAGGTCGCGCAGAGAGCAGTCGCGCAGCGGCCGCAGCACCGGCACGCCCCTCCTTGCGTCCCACACTGCCAGGTCCGCTGGTAGCGCAAAGCCCTGTGCCTGGTGGTGTGGGCGATGGGGGGAAGGGGAGAGGAAAGTGTGGATGGGGTGAGTGAGTGGGAGAGGGCAAACGAAGGCAGAGAGCAATAGTTATGGCATGCAATGAGCGAGAACTGTCCACCCACTCACCCACATCCCTCCATCCTCCTCCTCACAGTGCGCCCCCTTGGCCCACCTTGGCGGTGGCGGCGATGACATGCGCTGCCAGGCGAGTGGCCGTGCTTCCCACCACCACCTTGCTGCACTGCAGCCGCTGCGCCAGCTGGGGGTAGGGGAGAGGAGGGGCACGGGACGGGAGGGCGGGGGGAGGGGGGGTGGAGTGGAGTGAGAGGCCAAGCAGCGCCAGGAACACTGCTCGTGCATGCATGCAACAAGCACCACCATGCATGCAACACACACCACCACGCGTGCAACAAGCACCACCACGCGTGCAACAAGCACCACCACGCGTGCAACAAGCACCACCACGCGTGCAACAAGCACCACCACGCGTGCAACAAGCACCACCACGCGTGCAACAAGCACCACCACGCGTGCAACAAGCACCACCACGCGTGCAACAAGCACCACCACGCGTGCAACAAGCACCACCACGCGTGCAACAAGCACCACCACGCGTGCAACAAGCACCACCACGCGTGCAACAAGCACCACCACGCGTGCAACAAGCACCACCACGCGTGCAACAAGCACCACCACGCGTGCAACAAGCACCACCACGCGTGCAACAAGCACCACCACGCGTGCAACAAGCACCACCACGCGTGCAACAAGCACCACCACGCGTGCAACAAGCACCACCACGCGTGCAACAAGCACCACCACGCGTGCAACAAGCACCACCACGCGTGCAACAAGCACCACCACGCGTGCAACAAGCACCACCACGCGTGCAACAAGCACCACCACGCGTGCAACAAGCACCACCACGCGTGCAACAAGCACCACCACGCGTGCAACAAGCACCACCACGCGTGCAACAAGCACCACCACGCGTGCAACAAGCACCACCACGCGTGCAACAAGCACCACCACGCGTGCAACAAGCACCACCACGCGTGCAACAAGCACCACCACGCGTGCAACAAGCACCACCACGCGTGCAACAAGCACCACCACGCGTGCAACAAGCACCACCACGCGTGCAACAAGCACCACCACGCGTGCAACAAGCACCACCACGCGTGCAACAAGCACCACCACGCGTGCAACAAGCACCACCACGCGTGCAACAAGCACCACCACGCGTGCAACAAGCACCACCACGCGTGCAACAAGCACCACCACGCGTGCAACAAGCACCACCACGCGTGCAACAAGCACCACCACGCGTGCAACAAGCACCACCACGCGTGCAACAAGCACCACCACGCGTGCAACAAGCACCACCACGCGTGCAACAAGCACCACCACGCGTGCAACAAGCACCACCACGCGTGCAACAAGCACCACCACGCGTGCAACAAGCACCACCACGCGTGCAACAAGCACCACCACGCGTGCAACAAGCACCACCACGCGTGCAACAAGCACCACCACGCGTGCAACAAGCACCACCACGCGTGCAACAAGCACCACCACGCGTGCAACAAGCACCACCACGCGTGCAACAAGCACCACCACGCGTGCAACAAGCACCACCACGCGTGCAACAAGCACCACCACGCGTGCAACAAGCACCACCACGCGTGCAACAAGCACCACCACGCGTGCAACAAGCACCACCACGCGTGCAACAAGCACCACCACGCGTGCAACAAGCACCACCACGCGTGCAACAAGCACCACCACGCGTGCAACAAGCACCACCACGCGTGCAACAAGCACCACCACGCGTGCAACAAGCACCACCACGCGTGCAACAAGCACCACCACGCGTGCAACAAGCACCACCACGCGTGCAACAAGCACCACCACGCGTGCAACAAGCACCACCACGCGTGCAACAAGCACCACCACGCGTGCAACAAGCACCACCACGCGTGCAACAAGCACCACCACGCGTGCAACAAGCACCACCACGCGTGCAACAAGCACCACCACGCGTGCAACAAGCACCACCACGCGTGCAACAAGCACCACCACGCGTGCAACAAGCACCACCACGCGTGCAACAAGCACCACCACGCGTGCAACAAGCACCACCACGCGTGCAACAAGCACCACCACGCGTGCAACAAGCACCACCACGCGTGCAACAAGCACCACCACGCGTGCAACAAGCACCACCACGCGTGCAACAAGCACCACCACGCGTGCAACAAGCACCACCACGCGTGCAACAAGCACCACCACGCGTGCAACAAGCACCACCACGCGTGCAACAAGCACCACCACGCGTGCAACAAGCACCACCACGCGTGCAACAAGCACCACCACGCGTGCAACAAGCACCACCACGCGTGCAACAAGCACCACCACGCGTGCAACAAGCACCACCATGCGTGCAACAAGCACCACCATGCGTGCAACAAGCACCACCATGCGTGCAACAAGCACCACCATGCGTGCAACAAGCACCACCATGCGTGCAACAAGCACCACCATGCGTGCAACAAGCACCACCATGCGTGCAACAAGCACCACCATGCGTGCAACAAGCACCACCATGCGTGCAACAAAGCACCACCATGCGTGCAACAAGCACCACCATGCGTGCAACAAGCACCACCATGCGTGCAACAAGCACCACCATGCGTGCAACAAGCACCACCATGCGTGCAACAAGCACCACCATGCGTGCAACAAGCACCACCATGCGTGCAACAAGCACCACCATGCGTGCAACAAGCACCACCATGCGTGCAACAAGCACCACCATGCGTGCAACAAGCACCACCATGCGTGCAACAAGCACCACCATGCGTGCAACAAGCACCCACCATGCGTGCAACAAGCACCACCATGCGTGCAACAAGCACCACCATGCGTGCAACAAGCACCACCATGCGTGCAACAAGCACCACCATGCGTGCAACAAGCACCACCATGCGTGCAACAAGCACCACCATGCGTGCAACAAGCACCACCATGCGTGCAACAAGCACCACCATGCGTGCAACAAGCACCACCATGCGTGCAACAAGCACCACCATGCGTGCAACAAGCACCACCATGCGTGCAACAAGCACCACCATGCGTGCAACAAGCACCACCATGCGTGCAACAAGCACCACCATGCGTGCAACAAGCACCACCATGCGTGCAACAAGCACCACCATGCGTGCAACAAGCACCACCATGCGTGCAACAAGCACCACCATGCGTGCAACAAGCACCACCATGCGTGCAACAAGCACCACCATGCGTGCAACAAGCACCACCATGCGTGCAACAAGCACCACCATGCGTGCAACAAGCACCACCATGCGTGCAACAAGCACCACCATGCGTGCAACAAGCACCACCATGCGTGCAACAAGCACCACCATGCGTGCAACAAGCACCACCATGCGTGCAACAAGCACCACCATGCGTGCAACAAGCACCACCATGCGTGCAACAAGCACCACCATGCGTGCAACAAGCACCACCATGCGTGCAACAAGCACCACCATGCGTGCAACAAGCACCACCATGCGTGCAACAAGCACCACCATGCGTGCAACAAGCACCACCATGCGTGCAACAAGCACCACCATGCGTGCAACAAGCACCACCATGCGTGCAACAAGCACCACCATGCGTGCAACAAGCACCACCATGCGTGCAACAAGCACCACCATGCGTGCAACAAGCACCACCATGCGTGCAACAAGCACCACCATGCGTGCAACAAGCACCACCATGCGTGCAACAAGCACCACCATGCGTGCAACAAGCACCACCATGCGTGCAACAAGCACCACCATGCGTGCAACAAGCACCACCATGCGTGCAACAAGCACCACCATGCGTGCAACAAGCACCACCATGCGTGCAACAAGCACCACCATGCGTGCAACAAGCACCACCATGCGTGCAACAAGCACCACCATGCGTGCAACAAGCACCACCATGCGTGCAACAAGCACCACCATGCGTGCAACAAGCACCACCATGCGTGCAACAAGCACCACCATGCGTGCAACAAGCACCACCATGAGAGATGCCGTGCAACAAGCACCACCATGCGTGCAACAAGCACCACCATGCGTGCAACAAGCACCACCATGCGTGCAACAAGCACCACCATGCGTGCAACAAGCACCACCATGCGTGCAACAAGCACCACCATGCGTGCAACAAGCACCACCATGCGTGCAACAAGCACCACCATGCGTGCAACAAGCACCACCATGCTGTGCAACAAAGCACCACCATGCGTGCAACAAGCACCACCATGCGTGCAACAAGCACCACCATGCGTGCAACAAGCACCACCATGCGTGCAACAAAGCACCACCATGCGTGCAACAAGCACCACCATGCGTGCAACAAGCACCACCATGCGTGCAACAAGCACACCATGCGTGCAACAAGCACCACCATAGCGTGCAACAAGCACCACCATGCGTGCAACAAGCACCACCATGCGTGCAACAAGCACCACCATGCGTGCAACAAGCACCACCATGCGTGCAACAAGCACCACCATGCGTGCAACAAGCACCACCATGCGTGCAACAAGCACCACCATGCGTGCAACAAGCACCACCATGCGTGCAACAAGCACCACCATGCGTGCAACAAGCACCACCATGCGTGCAACAAGCACCACCATGCGTGCAACAAGCACCACCATGCGTGCAACAAGCACCACCATGCGTGCAACAAGCACCACCATGCGTGCAACAAGCACCACCATGCGTGCAACAAGCACCACCATGCGTGCAACAAGCACCACCATGCGTGCAACAAGCACCACCATGCGTGCAACAAGCACCACCATGCGTGCAACAAGCACCACCATGCGTGCAACAAGCACCACCATGCGTGCAACAAGCACCACCATGCGTGCAACAAGCACCACCATGCGTGCAACAAGCACCACCATGCGTGCAACAAGCACCACCATGCGTGCAACAAGCACCACCATGCGTGCAACAAGCACCACCATGCGTGCAACAAGCACCACCATGGCGTGCAACAAGCACCACCATGCGTGCAACAAGCACCACCATGCGTGCAACAAGCACCACCATGCGTGCAACAAGCACCACCATGCGTGCAACAAGCACCACCATGCGTGCAACAAGCACCACCATGCGTGCACAAGCACCCCATGCGTGCAACAGCCACCATGCGTGCAACAAGCACCCACCATGCGTGCAACAAGCACCACCATGCGTGCAACAAGCACCACCATGCGTGCAACAAGCACCACCATGCGTGCAACAAGGCACCACCATGCGTGCAACAAGCACCACCATGCGTGCAACAAGCACCACCATGCGTGCAACAAGCACCACCATGCGTGCAACAAGCACCACCATGCGTGCAACAAGCACCACCATGCGCTGCAACAAGCACCACCATGCGTTGCAACAAGCACCACCATGCGTGCAACAAGCACCACCATGCGTGCAACAAGCACCACCATGCGTGCAACAAGCACCACCATGCGTGCAACAAGCACCACCATGCGTGCAACAAGCACCACCATGCGTGCAACAAGCACCACCATGCGTGCAACAAGCACCACCATGCCGTGCAACAAGCACCACCATGCGTGCAACAAGCACCACCATGCGTGCAACAAGCACCACCATGCGTGCAACAAGCACCACCATGCGTGCAACAAGCACCACCATGCGTGCAACAAGCACCACCATGCGTGCAACAAGCACCACCATGCGTGCAACAAGCACCACCATGCGTGCAACAAGCACCACCATGCGTGCAACAAGCACCACCATGCGTGCAACAAGCACCACCATGCGTGCAACAAGCACCACCATGCGTGCAACAAGCACACCATGCGTGCAACAAGCACCACCATGCGTGCAACAAGCACCACCATGCGTGCAACAAGCACCACCATGCGTGCAACAAGCACCACCATGCGTGCAACAAGCACCACCATGCGTGCAACAAGCACCACCATGCGTGCAACAAGCACCACCATGCGTGCAACAAGCACCACCATGCGTGCAACAAGCACCACCATGCGTGCAACAAGCACCACCATGCGTGCAACAAGCACCACCATGCGTGCAACAAGCACCACCATGCGTGCAACAAGCACCACCATGCGTGCAACAAGCACCACCATGCGTGCAACAAGCACCACCATGCGTGCAACAAGCACCACCATGCGTGCAACAAGCACCACCATGCGTGCAACAAGCACCACCATGCGTGCAACAAGCACCACCATGCGTGCAACAAGCACCACCATGCGTGCAACAAGCACCACCATGCGTGCAACAAGCACCACCATGCGTGCAACAAGCACCACCATGCGTGCAACAAGCACCACCATGCGTGCAACAAGCACCACCATGCGTGCAACAAGCACCACCATGCGTGCAACAAGCACCACCATGCGTGCAACAAGCACCACCATGCGTGCAACAAGCACCACCATGCGTGCAACAAGCACCACCATGCGTGCAACAAGCACCACCATGCGTGCAACAAGCACCACCATGCGTGCAACAAGCACCACCATGCGTGCAACAAGCACCACCATGCGTGCAACAAGCACCACCATGCGTGCAACAAGCACCACCATGCGTGCAATGCAACAAGCACCACCATGCGTGCAACAAGCACCACCATGCGTGCAAACAAGCACCACCATGCGTGCAACAAGCACCACCATGCGTGCAACAAGCACCACCATGCGTGCAACAAGCACCACCATGCGTGCAACAAGCACCACCATGCGTGCAACAAGCACCACCATGCGTGCAACAAGCACCACCATGCGTGCAACAAGCACCACCATGCGTGCAACAAGCACCACCATGCGTGCAACAAGCACCACCATGCGTGCAACAAGCACCACCATGCGTGCAACAAGCACCACCATGCGTGCAACAAGCACCACCATGCGTGCAACAAGCACCACCATGCGTGCAACAAGCACCACCATGCGTGCAACAAGCACCACCATGCGTGCAACAAGCACCACCATGCGTGCAACAAGCACCACCATGCGTGCAACAAGCACCACCATGCGTGCAACAAGCACCACCATGCGTGCAACAAGCACCACCATGCGTGCAACAAGCACCACCATGCGTGCAACAAGCACCACCATGCGTGCAACAAGCACCACCATGCGTGCAACAAGCACCACCATGCGTGCAACAAGCACCACCATGCGTGCAACAAGCACCACCATGCGTGCAACAAGCACCACCATGCGTGCAACAAGCACCACCATGCGTGCAACAAGCACCACCATGCGTGCAACAAGCACCACCATGCGTGCAACAAGCACCACCATGCGTGCAACAAGCACCACCATGCGTGCAACAAGCACCACCATGCGTGCAACAAGCACCACCATGCGTGCAACAAGCACCACCATGCGTGCAACAAGCACCACCATGCGTGCAACAAGCACCACCATGCGTGCAACAAGCACCACCATGCGTGCAACAAGCACCACCATGCGTGCAACAAGCACCACCATGCGTGCAACAAGCACCACCATGCGTGCAACAAGCACCACCATGCGTGCAACAAGCACCACCATGCGTGCAACAAGCACCACCATGCGTGCAACAAGCACCACCATGCGTGCAACAAGCACCACCATGCGTGCAACAAGCACCACCATGCGTGCAACAAGCACCACCATGCGTGCAACAAGCACCACCATGCGTGCAACAAGCACCACCATGCGTGCAACAAGCACCACCATGCGTGCAACAAGCACCACCATGCGTGCAACAAGCACCACCATGCGTGCAACAAGCACCACCATGCGTGCAACAAGCACCACCATGCGTGCAACAAGCACCACCATGCGTGCAACAAGCACCACCATGCGTGCAACAAGCACCACCATGCGTGCAACAAGCACCACCATGCGTGCAACAAGCACCACCATGCGTGCAACAAGCACCACCATGCGTGCAACAAGCACCACCATGCGTGCAACAAGCACCACCATGCGTGCAACAAGCACCACCATGCGTGCAACAAGCACCACCATGCGTGCAACAAGCACCACCATGCGTGCAACAAGCACCACACCACCATGCGTGCAACAAGCACCACCATGCGTGCAACAAGCACCACCATGCGTGCAACAAGCACCACCATGCGTGCAACAAGCACCACCATGCGTGCAACAAGCACCACCATGCGTGCAACAAGCACCACCATGCGTGCAACAAGCACCACCATGCGTGCAACAAGCACCACCATGCGTGCAACAAGCACCACCATGCGTGCAACAAGCACCACCATGCGTGCAACAAGCACCACCATGCGTGCAACAAGCACCACCATGCGTGCAACAAGCACCACCATGCGTGCAACAAGCACCACCATGCGTGCAACAAGCACCACCATGCGTGCAACAAGCACCACCATGCGTGCAACAAGCACCACCATGCGTGCAACAAGCACCACCATGCGTGCAACAAGCACCACCATGCGTGCAACAAGCACCACCATGCGTGCAACAAGCACCACCATGCGTGCAACAAGCACCACCATGCGTGCAACAAGCACCACCATGCGTGCAACAAGCACCACCATGCGTGCAACAAGCACCACCATGCGTGCAACAAGCACCACCATGCGTGCAACAAGCACCACCATGCGTGCAACAAGCACCACCATGCGTGCAACAAGCACCACCATGCGTGCAACAAAGCACCACCATGCGTGCAACAAGCACCACCATGCGTGCAACAAGCACCACCATGCGTGCAACAAGCACCACCATGCGTGCAACAAGCACCACCATGCGTGCAACAAGCACCACCATGCGTGCAACAAGCACCCAACCATGCGTGCAACAAGCACCACCATGCGTGCAACAAGCACCACCATGCGTGCAACAAGCACCACCATGCGTGCAACAAGCACCACCATGCTGCAACAAGCACCACCATGCGTGCAACAAGCACCACCATGCGTGCAAACAAGCACCACCATGCGTGCAACAAGCACCACCATGCGTGCAACAAGCACCACCATGCGTGCAACAAGCACCACCATGCGTGCAACAAGCACCACCATGCGTGCAACAAGCACCACCATGCGTGCAACAAGCACCACCATGCGTGCAACAAGCACCACCATGCGTGCAACAAGCACCACCATGCGTGCAACAAGCACCACCATGCGTGCAACAGCACCACCATGCGTGCAACAAGCACCACCATGCGTGCAACAAGCACCACCATGCGTGCAACAAGCACCACCATGCGTGCAACAAGCACCACCATGCGTGCAACAAGCACCACCATGCGTGCAACAAGCACCACCATGCGTGCAACAAGCACCACCATGCGTGCAACAAGCACCACCATGCGTGCAACAAGCACCACCATGCGTGCAACAAGCACCACCATGCGTGCACCAAGCACCACCATGCGTGCAACAAGCACCACCATGCGTGCAACAAGCACCACCATGCGTGCAACAAGCACCACCATGCGTGCAACAAGCACCACCATGCGTGCAACAAGCACCACCATGCGTGCAACAAGCACCACCATGCGTGCAACAAGCACCACCATGCGTGCAACAAGCACCACCATGCGTGCAACAAGCACCACCATGCGTGCAACAAGCACCACCATGCGTGCAACAAGCACCACCATGCGTGCACCAAGCACCACCATGCGTGCAACAAGCACCACCATGCGTGCAACAAGCACCACCATGCGTGCAACAAGCACCACCATGCGTGCAACAAGCACCACCATGCGTGCACCAAGCACCACCATGCGTGCAACAAGCACCACCATGCGTGCAACAAGCACCACCATGCGTGCAACAAGCACCACCATGCGTGCACCAAGCACCACCATGCGTGCAACAAGCACCACCATGCGTGCAACAAGCACCACCATGCGTGCAACAAGCACCACCATGCGTGCAACAAGCACCACCATGCGTGCACCAAGCACCACCATGCGTGCAACAAGCACCACCATGCGTGCAACAAGCACCACCATGCGTGCAACAAGCACCACCATGCGTGCACCAAGCACCACCATGCGTGCAACAAGCACCACCATGCGTGCAACAAGCACCACCATGCGTGCAACAAGCACCACCATGCGTGCAACAAGCACCACCATGCGTGCACCAAGCACCACCATGCGTGCACCAAGCACCACCATGCGTGCAACAAGCACCACCATGCGTGCAACAAGCACCACCATGCGTGCAACAAGCACCACCATGCGTGCAACAAGCACCACCATGCGTGCAACAAGCACCACCATGCGTGCAACAAGCACCACCATGCGTGCAACAAGCACCACCATGCGTGCAACAAGCACCACCATGCGTGCAACAAGCACCACCATGCGTGCAACAAGCACCACCATGCGTGCAACAAGCACCACCATGCGTGCAACAAGCACCACCATGCGTGCAACAAGCACCACCATGCGTGCAACAAGCACCACCATGCGTGCAACAAGCACCACCATGCGTGCACCAAGCACCACCATGCGTGCACCAAGCACCACCATGCGTGCAACAAGCACCACCATGCGTGCAACAAGCACCACCATGCGTGCAACAAGCACCACCATGCGTGCACCAAGCACCACCATGCGTGCACCAAGCACCACCATGCGTGCAACAAGCACCACCATGCGTGCAACAAGCACCACCATGCGTGCAACAAGCACCACCATGCGTGCAACAAGCACCACCATGCGTGCACCAAGCACCACCATGCGTGCAACAAGCACCACCATGCGTGCAACAAGCACCACCATGCGTGCAACAAGCACCACCATGCGTGCAACAAGCACCACCATGCGTGCAACAAGCACCACCATGCGTGCAACAAGCACCACCATGCGTGCAACAAGCACCACCATGCGTGCAACAAGCACCACCATGCGTGCAACAAGCACCACCATGCGTGCAACAAGCACCACCATGCGTGCAACAAGCACCACCATGCGTGCAACAAGCACCACCATGCGTGCAACAAGCACCACCATGCGTGCAACAAGCACCACCATGCGTGCAACAAGCACCACCATGCGTGCAACAAGCACCACCATGCGTGCAACAAGCACCACCATGCGTGCAACAAGCACCACCATGCGTGCAACAAGCACCACCATGCGTGCAACAAGCACCACCATGCGTGCAACAAGCACCACCATGCGTGCAACAAGCACCACCATGCGTGCAACAAGCACCACCATGCGTGCAACAAGCACCACCATGCGTGCAACAAGCACCACCATGCGTGCAACAAGCACCACCATGCGTGCAACAAGCACCACCATGCGTGCAACAAGCACCACCATGCGTGCAACAAGCACCACCATGCGTGCAACAAGCACCACCATGCGTGCAACAAGCACCACCATGCGTGCAACAAGCACCACCATGCGTGCAACAAGCACCACCATGCGTGCAACAAGCACCACCATGCGTGCAACAAGCACCACCATGCGTGCAACAAGCACCACCATGCGTGCAACAAGCACCACCATGCGTGCAACAAGCACCACCATGCGTGCAACAAGCACCACCATGCGTGCAACAAGCACCACCATGCGTGCAACAAGCACCACCATGCGTGCAACAAGCACCACCATGCGTGCAACAAGCACCACCATGCGTGCAACAAGCACCACCATGCGTGCAACAAGCACCACCATGCGTGCAACAAGCACCACCATGCGTGCAACAAGCACCACCATGCGTGCAACAAGCACCACCATGCGTGCAACAAGCACCACCATGCGTGCAACAAGCACCACCATGCGTGCAACAAGCACCACCATGCGTGCAACAAGCACCACCATGCGTGCAACAAGCACCACCATGCGTGCAACAAGCACCACCATGCGTGCAACAAGCACCACCATGCGTGCAACAAGCACCACCATGCGTGCAACAAGCACCACCATGCGTGCAACAAGCACCACCATGCGTGCAACAAGCACCACCATGCGTGCAACAAGCACCACCATGCGTGCAACAAGCACCACCATGCGTGCAACAAGCACCACCATGCGTGCAACAAGCACCACCATGCGTGCAACAAGCACCACCATGCGTGCAACAAGCACCACCATGCGTGCAACAAGCACCACCATGCGTGCAACAAGCACCACCATGCGTGCAACAAGCACCACCATGCGTGCAACAAGCACCACCATGCGTGCAACAAGCACCACCATGCGTGCAACAACCGCTCCCCCATGCTCTCCCCACTGCCCGCGCCACCTGCCATGGGCGCATCCCCGCCATCCGCCAGCGCACTCTCCAGCCGCACCACGTGGAACGCCACTCCGTGCGTCCCCCCGTTCTCCGTCCCCAACCCTCCCTCCCTCAACGTCCCTCGCCCTTCCCCCTCCCCGCAGTCACCCCCGCTGCAGTCACGTGCGCCCCTGTGCGCCGTCACAGCGTCGCTCACGATCTCCCGCAACTCGCATGCCAGCCTGTCAGCAGTGCCACGTGGCAGAAGATCATTCCCCACCGCCACGCGCTCGTCCACGTAGGCAACGGAGAGGCGGAACGGAATGCGCCCCCTCGCTGCCGCCCCTTGCGCGCCGAGCGGCGCGGCTCCTTGCGAGTGGAGGAGGGGTGACTGTATGGCGAGGAGAAAGTCGAGCGCGCACCTGCACCGATCGCATTAAATCAGATTCGAATCAGATCAAAACAAGGTTGGAAGGAGCTTCCATCGGAGTTTGCACAACATGCGAGGGCGGCCGGGGAAAGAGCTGCGAGGTGAATGCATGCAGGAGTCCGGTGCGCGTCACCTGGAGGCGGCGCCACCCGAGAAGGCGAGCAGCACGTGATCGTCCTTCGCGACGAGCTTGCCGCCATTCACGGCCGACTTGAACTTCCCCAGCAGCGCGCCGCGCAGACACGCCGCGCACAACGCCTCCGTCTGATTCACCAGTGCCGCCGAGTCCGCCGCGCGGCACTTAATGCACCGCGGAACTTGCTTCTCCGCGCGCCGCTCCGCGGGTGTCGCCATGCCCGCGGCCCACGTCGACTCAAATCTCTTCTGGACGACGCTCGCAGAAGGTAGGGGGAACGTGGAGCGCAAGAGAGCAAGGAGCGGCGACGGGTGGGTGACGGAGAGCAGGCGAGGGCGGCGTGTGCGCGGCGTGAGGGTAGGAGCAGCGGGGCGGAATTTGTGTGCAGGGTGGCTGGCTGCACTCGATGTAAATCGTCCTCTTCACGCCATTTCTTCCAACCCCTTTCAAAACCCCACTCCCAATTCCGTCTCCCCCCACACTTCCCCATCACCCTCCTGCCCCCCATGGCCATCGGTGCGCGGAGGGCTTTCGCCTCCTCCGCCCGCCGCCTCGTCTCCGCTCGTCTCGCATACCCGTTCGCCCCGCGCTTATTAACTTCCACATCACCTCTCGACGCTGCGCCGAATCGCCATCCGCTTCCCTCCGCTGTCCAAACGTACGCGGATGGCGCTGTTCCCTCTTCGGGGTGCCGTGCTTACTCCGCCGGCGGGGAAGCGCTGGGGTCGGCGGGCAGCGGGGCGTGGGCGCAGGCAGGGGGGGTGGAGGGGAAAACTGCGGGCGAGGGCGGCGAGCGGAGCGGATCCGCCACCACCCACTTCGGTAGGCCGCTGCCCCTCCCGCCCCGCCGCTTGCGCTGCTCTCTGCCATGCCCTGCTCTGCCTCCCACTCATTCCCCCGTGCCTGTGCCGCTAACCTCGTGTGATCCACCTGTGCGCATTCCGCATGGCGCATGGCGGGGCGCGGCAGGGTACCGGGCAGTGCGCGAGGAGGAGAAGGCGGAGCTGGTGGGGGAAGTGTTCTCGTCGGTGGCGGACAAGTATGACGTCATGAATGACGTCATGAGCGGGGGCCTGCACCGTTTGTGGAAGGACAGGTGCGCCACGTGCCCCACCGTGACACTCGTTCCCACCGTGACACTCGTTCCCACCGTGACACTCGTTCCCACCGTGACACTCGTTCCCACCGTGACACTCGTTCCCACCGTGACACTCGTTCCCACCGTGACACTCGTTCCCACCGTGACACTCGTTCCCACCGTGACACTCATTCCCACCGTGACACTCGTTCCAGCACATCTCTGTCATTCTCTTCCCACCGCCCTCACCTTGCCTACCGTCCCTCCCAAGTCTCATCGCCCCTCTGATGCCCTGCGCCCCCTGCCCCATGTGTGCTCTAGACTGGTGCGAGCGCTGCACCCCTTCCCCCACATGCACCACCTCGATGTGGCAGGCGGCACAGGTGGGCATGGTGGCATGGTGGCATGGGGGATGGGGGCATTAGGGCATGGGGGATGGGGTCGTTGGGGTATGGGGGATGGGTGGGGACCTTGGGGCATGCGGGCAATGGGACATGGGGGCATGTGATGCTGTGGGTCGATGTGATGGGATGTGTATCTCAGGGTACTGTGCTGTGATGTGATGTGATGTGATGCGATGCGATGCGATGCGATGCGATGCGATGCGATGCGATGCGATGCGATGCGATGCGATGGGATGGGATGTGATGTGATGTGATGTGATGGGATGGGATGGGATGGGATGTGATGTGATGTGATGTGATGTGATGTGATGTGATGTGATGTGATGTGATGTGATGTGATGTGATGTGATGTGCTGTGCTGTGCTGTGCTGTGCTGTGCTGTGCTGTGCTGGGATGCGATGCGATGCGATGCGATGCGATGCGATGCGATGCGATGCGATGCGATGCGATGCGATGCGATGTGATGTGATGCTGGGACATGATGTGCTGGTTGCCTGTGATGAGTGTGTACCGTGTGGGAATCGCTTCATGTATGCGCGTGCCCATCACTGCCCTCCATACACCCCTCCTTCAGAGTCACTGCTGCCACCTTCGTCCATGGCCTCTTCTCCCCTCCCCTGCCCCCCCCCAGGTGACATTGCGTTCCAAGTGCTGAGGGCCATTCGTGAGGCGGAGGCGGATCCGCTGCGCATGGCGGCTGCTGCAGGCACAGGGAGGAGTAGCGGGGAGGGGTCGCACGAGGCAGGGAGGGGGGCGCGGGTGATAGTGTGTGACATCAATGCGGACATGCTGCGCGTGGGGCAGCTCAGGGCGCAGCAGCAAGGTGTGGCAGCACAGAGGCCAAGGGCGAGGAGTCCACCAGCCATTGCATGTGCCTCAGCACAGGTCACCCCCTTCTTATTTTCATGTGCTCGCGTTCCCCCCTGCCACCACCTTTCCACACCTTATATCTTGTGCCTGTGGACCTCCCCTACCCTCTCCACACCACCACAACCCCCTCCCGTCCTCCCAGGCTTGGCATCAGATGCGGCGCTGGAGTGGGTGCAGGGCGATGCGGAGGACATGAGTGCGGTGCTGGCGGATGGCAGTGTGGACGCCTACTCCATTGCCTTTGGCATCCGCAACGTCACGCGCATCCACCGTGCCCTCACAGAGGCCCACAGGTCACACCACACCACTCACCACCTCCTTCCTGCCATACCCTCGCGTCCCCTGCCCTGCTGTCTGCATGTGCCTCTCACCTTGCCCTTGCGTCTGTGCTCCCACTTCTCTCTGCCCTGCAACCCCCTCCCTCCCATGCATGTGAGTGCACAGGGTGCTGCGCAAGGGAGGCCAGTTTGCATGCCTGGAGCTCAGCCATGTGGAGGACCCTCTCTTCAGGGCACTGTGAGTTGTGCGAATGAAAGGTTTAAGATAAAAGGTTTACCTGAATTGCTGCCACCTGCAATTTAGGGGGAGCTTGTCTGTAATCTTCTAAACTCAATCCTTTCCCACCCACCCTTCCCTCACTCCCCCAGCTACGACACGTATTCTTTCAATGTCATTCCAGCCATTGGCCAGGCAGTCACTGGGGACAGGGCATCATATCAGTATCTTGTGGAGAGCATTCGCAAGTTCCCAACCCAGGTACTGCCTCCTCTAAGCAAAATCCCACATAAATCATTGCATACTCACACAACCCGCACTGACAAATGTCCACTTCTCCTTTCCCCGTGTCCCCGTCAGAGGAAATTCGCTCACATGATGGAGCAAGCAGGATTCAGAAATGTGTCATACGAGAACATGACAGGCGGTGTTGTGGCACTCTTTACAGGCTTCAAGTTGTAGAGATGCGGTTGCGTCTAGTAAGCGATTCAGTACAAACTGCTGAGTGCATTTTGTGATACGCATGTAGCTAAAAGTTGTTTTGGTCTATTTCTAGGTTCTTTTTTAAGATAATGATAGTAAATGACAGCAGTCAGGCAACAAAAAGGCCTTGGATTAATACCAGGACGGCTTAAGCCTTGGCAACCTGCTCCTCGATGAGATCGGCGGCCTCCTGAACGGTGGAGATCTTCTCAGCACCCTCCTCATCGAGGGTGATGTCGAACTGCTCCTCCAGAGCCATCATAATCTCCACCTGCCACCGCAACGGCACATCCACGCTCTCAACAACCCCGAACACAAAACCACCAAACGCACGGTTTACTCAAGCTGCTGCAGGAGTAACGCGTAAAGCAATGGTTCGCACTCACGGTGTCGAGGGAGTCGGCGCCGAGGTCGACGAACTTGGCCTCGGCGGTGATCTTCTCCACCTCGACGGCCAGCTGCTGCGCGATGATGCCCCGCACCTTGGTCAGGGTGTCTGCGGAGGCCTGTACCAACACGGGGTCGACGGTCAATCAGGGGATCGGACCAGTGCTGGTAATGGCCCATTCGCATTCACAAAAACGGGGACTGGGGGACGAAGCACCTAGGGAATGAAAACGGGAAAGACGTACAGCGCAGGAGATGGAAAGCCTCTGCGCCCGGGGGGTGAAGGAAACCACGGACTTGGCGACGGCAACCTTCGCGGGGGCGGCTCTCAAGCCGGTGAAGGTGGCAATGGTCTGCAGGACGAAGCGAAAACGGCGTCAGTACGTGAAGAAACTAGGGAAGCTTTGTTTAACCTAAAAACAGCACGCTGTACCTTCTGGCTGCTGACAGCGAAAGCCATGGCTGCTGTGTGAAGTGGTAGCTTTCGGGCTGGAGTAGCAGCTAGGGTTGAGGTTTGGAAGCAGAGGTTGCAGATTGAGCGAAAATGAGAGCCCAAGGTGGTTTACTTAGAGCTCTCAGCAGCGAGGCTGGTCTGGATAGATCCGTCCACGGTAGATGGCCAATCCCACGGCGCTCCAGGTCACGATTGTGACGCGTGGCATGAAAAGTGACGGTTGCGGTTAAAATCCGCACGAAAGGGCCTGTCAACCGAAGGTCACAACAACGGAGTGATCGAAACCAGCACACCATACCGTATTTTCATGTGCGGTGTAGCAAATAGAACCTTCCCGCTGCTGAGTGATCGGAGGAGCACATAAGGCTAAATGTATATTACATGCACCTATTAGAAACTAACATTACATTCTTTAGTTAGCCATGCCCTGGCCACTAGTACGACATTAAAAATCATTGGGATATGACATCCTCTAATTTAAATTCGGGAAAACTCGGTGATATATAGAATCATTCCGTATCATCCAGCAGGGTTATTTTTTCTGTTCGTATAATATGGATCATTACTCAAAGAATAGAATAGAGGCATCCAACAGTTTGGCAATGTCTCACAGTTGTATGAGAATTCACAAAATGTCGTTTTAGTCCTCTCGTTGTTAGTCCCCGCGCGTCTGGAGATGCGAGCAAGTTTGTCTGAGCATCGTCTCCGTTGATCCTCTTGGGATGCACAGACCATCCTGCTGGGAAGCCGAGTCACACAGGAGCAGGCCAATGGTTGTGGAGGCGGCCAATGGGAGGTGCTGTGTGATGCACTTCTGTGTGACCCTCGGTAATGCCGTGGAGTGGAGAGAGTGACGGTCACGCACAACCCTTTCATCCCAACCAATTTCATCTGCTTCTCTCAAACCTGCGATCATCTCTAAGGCTTCAATTCAAGATAATCCCCATAACTAACCGTGTAGCAGACGGGCCAGTTCTGCCTAATGGCTTGTGCGGGAAAGGCTACAGCCATTAACCCTGCACACAGCGCTACTCTAATCAGACATTCGAACAAGATCCAGCCGTGCAGAAACGGTTTACGGGTTCCAGCCACAGCACGCCGTAGAATCTTGTCAGTATCACTCATGGAGACGGATAAGCTACATGACATTCACAGTTCCATGCAAAATCAATCGAGTGGTGGAAGTATGCCAAATACCGGCGTCAAGCACAAGATTCTTGGAATAGACATCGGCGGTACAAGCATAAAGGCAGCGCCAGTTGACACTCGGACTGGTCAGCTGCTAGTGGAACGGTTTGTCGTGCTGACACCCAACCCAGCCACACCGGAAGCATGTGCAGACGCCGTCAATCAGTGTGCTCAACACTTTCAGGTCAAAATAGTGTTACGTTCACGCGATTAATTTCTAAAGTAGTACCTGCTGCTCGTTCTCAGATCACTCAAAGTATTCTTTATCGAATCACTGTGAGTGCAGTGGAAAGGAGCCGTTGGGATTGGAGTACCCGCAGTGGTGAAGGATGGAACCACATGGACAGCCGCGAACAGTACGTTTTCCAATCCTGATGCTCCAATTCTTTGTTCCTTCGTTTCTTAACCACGTCTCTTTTGCATTCCTGGGCTGTGTCTGTCAGTCGACAGCAGTTGGGTGGGAGCGGACGTGGAGGGCTTGTTCAGCCGGGTAACAGGGCTGCCAGTCACGGTGGTCAACGACGCCGACGCTGCTGGCTATGCAGAGCTGGGCTTCGGTGCAGGGTCGGGGGAGAACGAACGCGGTGTGGTGTTCATTGTGACCTTCGGAACCGGCATTGGCACGGCCATGTTCGTGGATGGCATTCTGGTGCGAAAGACCCTCTCATACATGCCACATGCTTCATGCCATGCCTGTCACCTTCTTGATTTCATCATGCTTTATGCCATCCATGCTTCATGTCTTATGGTGTCTCCTTTGGTGGCTGAGTGCAGGTCCCTAACCTGGAACTGGGTCACATGGAGGTGGATGGAGTGGAGGCAGAGGTGGCAGCAGCAGGCGTGCTGGTGGAGAGAAATGGGTGGACGTGGCAGCAGTGGGCTGACAAGGTCGCCTGGTACCTGGGCCACATTGAAAAGCTCTTCTGGCCCTCCAGATTCGTAAGCGCCACCATCCTCCCTTGTCCTCCTCACTTGAATGGCCACTTTTCATGCCTCAGTTTCCCTCACCCTGCTGCCTTGTTCCTATCGATGTGTTTGCTCGTCTGTGTGCGGCATCAGATTGTGGGAGGGGGAGTGAGCAATGCACACGAGCAGTGGCTGCATCTGGTGAAGCTGCCAAAGGGCACTCCCATCCTGCCTGCCTCCATGAAGAACGATGCCGGCATCATTGGTGCTGCCATGGCTTCGCTCGCCCGCTCCGTCTTTGCCATCCGCCACAAGCCACAGCAGGTGGAGGACTACATTCAGGCCTGACCGCGCTTGGGTTTTAAACAGGCGACGCAACGCATGCAGGTTGCTTGGTATCCACTTGACTGGATCAGTGGTGCTGCTTTGTATTGTTATTGCATTAATAATGACTAATTCCAGATTTCGGCTACAACAGGACTGCACCAAGCTGAAGGAGATTCGGAAGAAGGAACCACCAATAGCATGTTTGAGAATAAAAGCATGACGCATTGAAGCCCCACAAGACGATACCAATTCACCATCACCAAGACATGGTATGAGGTGGAGCCACCACACCATCACTACCATCTACTGCGAGTGCTGCCACAGCTACCCTCCCCTCCGCTGCCCTCTGGTGCCATGATGCCCTGCCCCTCCACCTCTCCCTCCTGCACGCCTGCCCCCACCGCCCCTCCACGCACGGCAGCAAGTGACGGGCCCAAGGCAGGTGGCGAGGCAGCGGCAGCGAGGGGCACAGCGGGCAGAATGGCCTTGAGGTTCTGCAGATACTGAGTCATCTCCTGATGGGGATGAGCAGGCACAGGAAGTTGGCAGCAAGAAGGCAGAACGGAGGGGTTGCGTAAAGTTCAGCAGCAAGGAGAGGCAGGGAAATAAGGCATGAATCAGGAGATTGTCTTGCACTCTCAGACGTGACTCCCAACCATTGTCCTCTACCTACTCGTCCCTATCCCTCTCACCTCCAGGCTTCTTTCCAGTTCTGAGACGCGAGCAGTCTTCTCTTGCAGCCGCCTCTCTGTCTCCTGCAACCGAGCCCTCAGCTCCCACGGCCCCCCCTCCACCACCATTGCCTCACTCTGCATTAGGAGGATGCGGAACACACACAGAGGGGCACAGAGGCTTAGGGTTTAGGGTGGAGAGGATATGGAAGACGCAGGGACGACAAAGGTGCTCTGCAACACGCGTCCCCCTCGAGGATGCTTCTCACTCTGTGCTCATCTCACCTCATCATTCCCTTGCACGCTCTGCTCCCCATCCTCCACCTGTGCTCGCCCCCCAGCCTCCTGTGCTGCTTGCCTAGCGGCTTGCGCCTCTGCCCTGGCCTCCTCCACAATGCGCATGGCTGCCACCGCCTGCACCGCCGCCATGCCCGCTGCCATCTCCCTCTCTTCCGCCCCCACCTCACTCCCCCTCGCAGCCTCCATCCACCTCCCACCACTGCCCACGTTCCTGAACCTCAATGGCCCTCCCCCCACTTCCTTCTTCCGCGCCCCCCTTCCACTTGGCCAGGTCGTAGTCCCCTTCTCCTCCTCCTGCTCGCCCTTCTCCCTGCTGCCCCCTGCCGCCAATTTCCCATGATCACGCAGCCCAGTTGCCAGACCCACGCCACCCACCATGTGCCCCCTCTCACACCCAGCTCCTGCTCTTCCCGGCCCCTCCCGTCCCACTTCAGCAAGATCTGGTCCATGATTCGACCTGTGTGGTTGTACTAACGAAACCTCATTTAAACTCCACTCCCCTATTCCTGCTGCCAAGCCTGCTGCCGGACCTGCAGGCTCGGCAGCGATGCTGTTGACAGCCACATGCAGCTCTGAGAGCTGCAGGCCTGTGAAGAGTGTGAATGGGGAGGCAGCGGGCGCAAGTGACGGCGAGCAGTGGGGAGAGGGGGAGGAGGTGGAATGGTGGAGGAGGAGGCGACTGATGAGAGCATCTGCTGTGTCACCGTGTGTTGCCTCTTGCCTCGCCCTGCCACCTGCTGCTGCCTCGTTTGCCCGCCCAACATCCCCCTCACACCCCTTGCTGCTCTCCTCGCCATCCTGCTCCTCACCTTCTCTTGACCCGCCTCGCCCTGCTGATCGTGCTGTCCTTGCTGTCCCTGCTGGCCCTCCGGACCTTGCTGCCTCTCCAGACCTATTGGACTTGCCTGACTCCACAACCTTTCCAACCCCTTTCCACCTTCCTGCCCCCAACCCCAAGTCACCAGTTGCTACTGTGGCTGCTGCGTCTGGTGCTGCTGCGACGACTGATGCTGCTGCGGTTGGTGCTGCTGGGCCTGCCCCATTGCTGGCTGCAGGGGAGGCAGCAGCGGGCCTGGCAGCAGGGGCCTGGCAGTTCACAGCAAGCTGCTCCAACAGGGCGCCCCTCAGCCTTCCCTCCACTTCGTCCTCCTCAGCATCTCCCCTCTCCCTACATCCGACCCCCTCCCTCTTCCCACCGCCAGCACTCTCCGTCCCCCCACTCTCACTGCCAGGGCCCACGGGACCAACAGCTGGTGACAGCCGCCTGCCTGCCTTCCCTGAGGCCCCTTTCCCACTCGGCACTGTATCACGCCCTCTCTGGGTCGTATCCTCCAACCAGCGCGCCCTGCCCTCTCCCACCCCAGTCTGCCCACCCTTGTGCCAGTGCACCGAGTTGTGGGACGACTCTGACACCTCCCCGCCTCCCACTCCTGCCCCCTCTGCCCGCTCTGCTATGTGATCTCTCCCCCCATCACTTGCCGCCACCCCCTTTGGATGGACACCTCCGTCCCTGAGGCACATGCTGCCCCACGCCAGTGCAGCACACCCATCGCCCGCATCCTTCTGCCCACCTCCTACGCCTGTCACCACTGCCCCACGCCCCTGCACACTCGCACTGCTGCTCGCCCCCCTCTCCCCCTCGCCCTCCACTGCCCCCCCACCCCCACCTGATGTTGCTGATGCCACCACACTACCCACACCACCCACACTACCCACACCGCCCACACTATCCACACTGCCTCTTTCCCTTTTTCTGCTCCCTCCCCTGCTGCCACTGCTGCTATCACTAGCACTGCTGCTTCTCTCTGTTTCCTCATCGTCATCCTCCCTCCCCGTGCCCTCCTCCAGTCCCTTCCCCCCCTCCTCCCCTTCCTCCCCCCCTTCCTCCTCCTCCCCTTCCTCCTCCTCCCCATCCTCTTCCTCCTCCACCAGCACGCGCAGAGCAACAGCCTCAGCCAGGGCCTGCCCGGCACGGTCCAGCCACAATTCTTGTTCGCGGCGGCGCTGCTTGCGCTTCTCCAGCAGCTCGCTCCTGAGGGCGTTCGCCGTGGCCAGCGCCTTCTCCAGCCGCCGCTTCTTCTTCTCCGCCTGCCGCTGCCGCTGCTCCTCCTCACTGCCCGTAGCCTTCTTCCGCCCGCCCCCCGCCTTCGCCCCATCTTTCTGCTTAGATGCTGATACCGACGCACCACTCCCCGGGGTGCCCCCGCTGCTGCACGCACTGCTCGTGCTCCCGCTGCCCCCTGCTCCCCTGCCCCCATACACGCACTCACGCTTCCGCTGCACCCTCTCCCCCTGCACCGCCCCTTGCTCTCCTCCCCCCTGCTGGCCGCCCGAAGCCCACCCTGCCCCGCCCTGCCCTCTGTCTATTCGTCCCCACCGCCCCTCCCTCCCCCTCTGCCTCCGCCCTTGTGGCTGCTGACCCCTGGAAGCGCTTCCTGCGCCATCAGCAGCACCAGCACCAGCACCATCGCCACCACCGCGAGCAGCAGCAGGAGCGCCTGGCTGGTGGGCATCTCTACAGGCAGCAGCAGCGGCGGCAGCGCCAGGCCCCTCTGCGGACGTGCGGGGTGAGCACCGGCTGCCATCTCCACCTGCTGCCACTGCTGCTGCTGCCGTTGCTCTCGCTGCTCGCGCGTCCGCCTCCACCTGTGCGTGTGACGCGGCGCCGGCGGAGACAGCTGCTGGCATTGCTGGCGCATGGTGAGAGGGGCGCGCACAGGGGGGGCTTGGCGCGGGGAGGAAAGGGGAGGTCGCGAGGGGAGGGGCGGGGCCAACAGGAGGCGCGCAAAACCTTACGATGTCGCAAGGGGCGCGGATAGTGTGCTGCAGCACGTACGGGGAAAAGGAACCAGGGGGCCCCGGGACCAAGGGGAAGCGAGTGTCTGGGAGAATTTGCGGAAAGGGCGGGGGGTAGTACGGTACGGGATGCGCGGCAGTGGCGCGGAAAGTGAGGGGTGGTTGGAAGGGCAGCAGCGGCAATGACGGGCCGCTGTGACCGGCTATCTCTGGTGCCCCGCCTCTCGCACTCTCTGCGCCGAGGGGGGCCTGCGGTTGGCGCGCCTGACTCGCACCCATCTGCCCGCGCGCATGGCCGCTGAGCAACGCCTGCGGCTGCGCCGGTGGCGCATGTGACGGCAGCGGAGACGGCCACGCAAGGACGTGCGCAGGCCACGCGGTACAATCGTGCGCGCGCTGCCCCCGCAGCCCCGCGCGCAGCTGCGCCTCCTCCGTTGCTGCGCCGCACCCCTCGATGTTATCGTGCGCGTGTCCGCTAAGACAATCTCGTTCGCTACTCATTGCTGCGCAACGAGCGGTGATGCGGTGTGGCGCGCAACGAGCGGTGACGCGGTGTGGCGCGCAACGAGCGGTGATGCGGTGTGGCGCGCAACGAGCGCAACGAGCTGTTGGGCGGGTTACAAGGGCGCACAGTCTCACGGGGCCGTGCCGTTGACAGGTGGGCCTGGGTGCACAACAGTGGAACGCGATGCTTTTCTAACAGCCCTCTGCTCACACATGTCATGAGACTTGTGCGTGGCCCTGACCCTTGAAACTGGAAAGTCAACACACGCGCAAGATGACAGCAGGGACACAAATTTTGGCCCTGTTTGAGCACAGGACCTACACTCTTGATTTGTGACTTCCCATCCCAATCCCGCAGCACCAAGTCAGGCCTCGCTTTGCACCTCACTCGCACGTAGCTGGCTGATCGCACAGGCACGGCCATAGCGACTACCCCCTGATTTCTATCACCCGATCGCTGTGACCGTTCCTCCGCAGTCGTACCGCACGAGCAACAGAGCCACCTTCGCGCATCGCATAGTACCGTCTTTCCGCCGTACGTTTTCCGCCCCCTCCCATGGACCCCGCGCCCATGGAGCCTTTGGACCCTGGCGGCCCCTCCGCGCCCCTCGTCGCGGACGGCGCAGGGACAGCACGCGCGAGGCCGAGCGGCGGAGTGGTGTTCACTCCGCTGTACGGCACACACGCCGACGAGCCGCTGTGCTACCACCTGCGGCTCGGCCGCCTGCACCTGCTGCTGGACTGCGGCTGGACCGACCTGCTCGACACGGACCTGCTCGAGCCGCTGCGCGCCGTCGCGCCCGCAATCCACGCGGTGCTGCTCTCCCACCCCGACATGGAGCACGCGGGCGCGCTGCCGTACGCGTACGCGCAGCTGGGGCTGCGCGCGCCCGTGTACTGCACCGTGCCGGTGGCGCGGCTGGCGCAGCTGATGCTGTACGACCAGTTCCTGGCGCGGCGCAGCGCGGGCGACTTCGACCTGTTCTCGCTGGACGACGTGGACGCCGCGTTCGACGGCGCCGTGCGCCTCAAGTTCTCGCAGCCGCACGCCGTGGGCGAGGAGCGGGACGGCGTGAGCGTGACGCCGCTGGCGGCGGGGCACCTACTGGGCGGCACGATATGGCGGATATCCGTGGACACGGAGGACCTCGTGTACGCCGTGGGGTTCAACCACAGGTGCGCCCTGCTCCCTGCTCCAACCGCTCAACCCGCTCCCTCGCTTGCCTACCCCCCTTGCTTTCCGTTCATACTTTCTGCCCCAAAAAGGCTTCCCCTTTTCGCATTTGCAAAGCATGTGCTGCACGGTGCTCATGTGTCCCCTTGCGCAATGGCAGGGAGGAGCGCATACTGGGGCGCACGGTGCTGGACACGGCGGTGGTGCGCCCCGCCGTGCTGATCGCGGACGCGGGCACGGCGCTGGTGGCGCCGGTGAAGCGCAAGCAGCGCGACCAGCAGCTGGCGGAGGCTATCAGCAGCACGGTGGGCGAGGGCGGCAGCGTGCTCATGCCCGTTGACACGGGCGGGCGCGTGCTGGAGCTGCTGGTGCACTTGGAGCAGCTGTGGGCGGCGCAGGGGTGGGAGGTGCCGGTGGTGGTGGCGACGGGCGAGAGCTACAGCATGGTGGAGGGCGCCAAGGCCATGCTCGAGTGGCTCAACCCCTCCACTGCGCGCCACTTCGATGCCCAGCGCACCTCGCCCTTCAACTTCAAGTACCCCATAACCGCCCTCGACCCACCTCTCCCACCTTTGGCCCCCATCTTTTTCCCCCTCTGTCTCACCTGTGCCTCGACCTGCACCAACAAAACACGCACACACAACTCATTTCCCCGCACCATGCTCTCCTTTGCGCCTCTATCTCCCGTTCTCATCCTGACCCCCTTTATTTCCACCTTTCCCCCAACGTGCACAGGTACATCCGGCTGTGTCACAGTGTGGAGGAGGTGGAGGAGGTGCCGGGGCCCAAGGTGGTGCTGGCGTCACTCGCCAGTCTCGAGGCCGGCTTCGCCCGCGCGCTCTTTGTGCGCTGGGCGCCCGACCTGCGCAACACTCTGCTCTTCACCTCTCGCGCTCCGCCTGGCTCCCTCGCGCACACGCTGCAGACCCAGGTGGGGGCCCAGGTGGCCGGGTGGTGCTCTCGTCCATGCCCGCCCCACGTGCTGCCTGTCCACTTCCGGGCCTCACGCGCGCGTCGCCCCTCCCTCATGCGCGTGTCGCCCCGATTGCGACTTATGTTCCTCCCTGCACACCCTTGCTCACGTTCATCCCTGCCACAATCGTCACCCTTCCCTCCCCTGCCCTCGACTCCATAACCCTATGCTCAAACTTCTCTCCCTCCAATCTGAGTCCCCCGTACCCTCCCCGCCCCGACCCACCACCCACCCCTTCCTGAATACACAGGACGTGCGGTTCCCGGTGGTGAGTGTGAGCATGAGCGAGCGCGTGCCGCTGGAGGGCGAGGAGCTGAGGCTGTACGAGGAGCAGCAGCGGCAGCAGCAGCAGGCCGCCATGGATGCTGCTAGAGGGGACGAGGGCGAGGACGGGCAGGGGGATGGGGAGGAAGGGGAGGGGGAGAGGGAGGGCGAGGGAGGGGAGAAGGGGGAGGCGAAGGAGGAGGCGGATGGGGAGGTGGTGGATGGGGATGACGCAGGTGGGTTGATGAGGCAGGTGGGTTGATGAGGCAGGTGGGCTGATGAGGCAAGTGCATTGATGAGGCAGGTGCATTGATGAGGCAGGTGGGTTGATGAGGCAGGTGGGTTGATGAGGCAGGTGGGTTGATGAGGCATGTGGGTTGATGAGGCAGGTGGGTTGATGAGGCAGGTGGGTTGATGAGGCAGGTGGGTTGATGAGGCAGGTGGGTTGATGAGGCAGGTGGGTTGATGAGGCAGGTGGGTTGATGAGGCAGGTGGGTTGATGAGGCAGGTGGGTTGATGAGGCAGGTGGATTGATGAGGCAGGTGCATTGATGAGGCAGGTGGGTTGATGAGGCAGGTGGGTTGATCAGGCAGGTGGGTTGATGAGGCAGGTGCATTGATGAGGCAGGTGGGTTGATGAGGCAGGTGGGTTGATGAGGCAGGTGGGTTGATGAGGCAGGTGGGTTGATGAGGCAGGTGGGTTGATGAGGCAGGTGGGTTGATGAGGCAGGTGGGTTGATGAGGCAGGTGGGTTGATGAGGCAGGTGGGTTGATGAGGCAGGTGGGTTGATGAGGCAGGTGCATTGATGAGGGAGGTGCATTGATGAGGCAGGTGCATTGATGAGGCAGGTGGGTTGATGAGGCAGGTGGGTTGATGAGGCAGGTGGGTTGATGAGGCAGGTGGGTTGATGAGGCAGGTGGGTTGATGAGGCAGGTGGGTTGATGAGGCAGGTGCATTGATGAGGGAGGTGCATTGATGAGGCAGGTGCATTGATGAGGCAGGTGGGTTGATGAGGCAGGTGGGTTGATGAGGCAGGTGGGTTGATGAGGCATGTGGGTTGATGAGGCAGGTGGGTTGATGAGGCAGGTGGGTTGATGAGGCAGGTGGGTTGATGAGGCAGGTGGGTTGATGAGGCAGGTGGGTTGATGAGGCAGGTGGGTTGATGAGGCAGGTGGGTTGATGAGGCAGGTGGGTTGATGAGGCAGGTGGGTTGATGAGGCAGGTGCATTGATGAGGCAGGTGGGTTGATGAGGCAGGTGCATTGATGAGGCAGGTGGGTTGATGAGGCAGGTGGGTTGATGAGGCAAGTGGGTTGATGAGGCAGGTGGGTTCATGAGGCAGGTGGGTTGATGAGGCAGGTGGGTTGATGAGGCAGGTGGGTTGATGAGGCAGGTGGGTTGATGAGGCAGGTGCATTGATGAGGCAGGTGGGTTGATGAGGCAGGTGCATTGATGAGGCAGGTGGGTTGATGAGGCAGGTGGGATGATGAGGCAGGTGGGTTGATGAGGCAGGTGCATTGATGAGGCAGGTGGGTTGATGAGGCAGGTGGGTTGATGAGGCAGGTGGGTTGATGAGGCAGGTGCATTGATGAGGCAGGTGCATTGATGAGGCAGGTGGGTTGATGAGGCAGGTGGGTTGATGAGGCAGGTGGGTTGATGAGGCAGGTGGGTTGATGAGGCAGGTGGGTTGATGAGGCAGGTGCATTGATGAGGCAGGTGCATTGATGAGGCAGGTGGGTTGATGAGGCAGGTGGGTTGATGAGGCAGGTGGGTTGATGAGGCAGGTGGGTTGATGAGGCAGGTGGGTTGATGAGGCAGGTGGGTTGATGAGGCAGGTGGGTTGATGAGGCAGGTGGGTTGATGAGGCAGGTGGGTTGATGAGGCAGGTGGGTTGATGAGGCAGGTGGGTTGATGAGGCAGGTGGGTTGATGAGGCAGGTGCATTGATGAGGCAGGTGGGTTGATGAGGCAGGTGCATTGATGAGGCAGGTGGGTTGATGAGGCAGGTGGGTTGATGAGGCAGGTGGGTTGATGAGGCAGGTGGGTTGATGAGGCAGGTGGGTTGATGAGGCAGGTGGGTTGATGAGGCAGGTGGGTTGATGAGGCAGGTGGGTTGATGAGGCAGGTGGGTTGATGAGGCAGGTGGGTTGATGAGGCAGGTGGGTTGATGAGGCAGGTGGGTTGATGAGGCAGGTGGGTTGATGAGGCAGGTGGGTTGATGAGGCAGGTGCATTGATGAGGCAGGTGGGTTGATGAGGCAGGTGCATTGATGAGGCAGGTGGGTTGATGAGGCAGGTGGGTTGATGAGGCAGGTGGGTTGATGAGGCAGGTGGGTTGATGAGGCAGGTGGGTTGATGAGGCAGGTGGGTTGATGAGGCAGTTGGGTTGATGAGGCAGGTGGGTTGATGAGGCAGGTGGGTTGATGAGGCAGGTGGGTTGATGAGGCAGGTGGGTTGATGAGGCAGGTGGGTTGATGAGGCAGGTGGGTTGATGAGGCAGGTGGGTTGATGAGGCAGGTGGGTTGATGAGGCAGGTGCATTGATGAGGGAGGTGCATTGATGAGGCAGGTGCATTGATGAGGCAGGTGGGTTGATGAGGCAGGTGGGTTGATGAGGCAGGTGGGTTGATGAGGCATGTGGGTTGATGAGGCAGGTGGGTTGATGAGGCAGGTGGGTTGATGAGGCAGGTGGGTTGATGAGGCAGGTGGGTTGATGAGGCAGGTGGGTTGATGAGGCAGGTGGGTTGATGAGGCAGGTGGGTTGATGAGGCAGGTGGGTTGATGAGGCAGGTGGGTTGATGAGGCAGGTGCATTGATGAGGCAGGTGGGTTGATGAGGCAGGTGCATTGATGAGGCAGGTGGGTTGATGAGGCAGGTGGGTTGATGAGGCAGGTGGGTTGATGAGGCAGGTGGGTTGATGAGGCAGGTGGGTTGATGAGGCAGGTGGGTTGATGAGGCAGGTGGGTTGATGAGGCAGGTGGGTTGATGAGGCAGGTGTGATGAGGCAGGTGGGTTGATGAGGCAGGTGCATTGATGAGGCAGGTGGGTTGATGAGGCAGGTGGGTTGATGAGGCAGGTGGGTTGATGAGGCAGGTGGGTTGATGAGGCAGGTGGGTTGATGAGGCAGGTGGGTTGATGAGGCAGGTGGGTTGATGAGGCAGGTGGGTTGATGAGGCAGGTGGGTTGATGAGGCAGGTGGGTTGATGAGGCAGGTGCATTGATGAGGCAGGTGGGTTGATGAGGCAGGTGGGTTGATGAGGCAGGTGGGTTGATGAGGCAGGTGCATTGATGAGGCAGGTGCATTGATGAGGCAGGTGGGTTGATGAGGCAGGTGGGTTGATGAGGCAGGTGGGTTGATGAGGCAGGTGGGTTGATGAGGCAGGTGGGTTGATGAGGCAGGTGGGTTGATGAGGCAGGTGGGTTGATGAGGCAGGTGGGTTGATGAGGCAGGTGGGTTGATGAGGCGATGGGTTGATGAGGCAGGTGGGTTGATGAGGCAGGTGGGTTGATGAGGCAGGTGCATTGATGAGGCAGGTGGGTTGATGAGGCAGGTGCATTGATGAGGCAGGTGAATTGATGAGGCAGGTGGGTTGATGAGGCAGGTGGGTTGATGAGGCAGGTGGGTTGATGAGGCAGGTGGGTTGATGAGGCAGGTGGGTTGATGAGGCAGGTGGGTTGATGAGGCAGGTGGGGTGATGAGGCAGGTGGGTTGATGAGGCAGGTGGGTTGATGAGGCAGGTGGGTTGATGAGGCAGGTGGGTTGATGAGGCAGGTGGGTTGATGAGGCAGGTGGGTTGATGAGGCAGGTGGGTTGATGAGGCAGGTGCATTGATGAGGCAGGTGGGTTGATGAGGCAGGTGCATTGATGAGGCAGGTGGGTTGATGAGGCAGGTGGGTTGATGAGGCAGGTGGGTTGATGAGGCAGGTGGGTTGATGAGGCAGGTGGGTTGATGAGGCAGGTGGGTTGATGAGGCAGTTGGGTTGATGAGGCAGGTGGGTTGATGAGGCAGGTGGGTTGATGAGGCAGGTGGGTTGATGAGGCAGGTGGGTTGATGAGGCAGGTGGGTTGATGAGGCAGGTGGGTTGATGAGGCAGGTGGGTTGATGAGGCAGGTGCATTGATGAGGCAGGTGGGTTGATGAGGCAGGTGGGTTGATGAGGCAGGTGGGTTGATGAGGCAGGTGGGTTGATGAGGCAGGTGGGTTGATGAGGCAGGTGGGTTGATGAGGCAGGTGGGTTGATGAGGCAGGTGGGTTGATGAGGCAGGTGGGTTGATGAGGCAGGTGGGTTGATGAGGCAGGTGGGTTGATGAGGCAGGTGGGTTGATGAGGCAGGTGGGTTGATGAGGCAGGTGGGTTGATGAGGCAGGTGCATTGATGAGGCAGGTGGGTTGATGAGGCAGGTGCATTGATGAGGCAGGTGGGTTGATGAGGCAGGTGGGTTGATGAGGCAGGTGGGTTGATGAGGCAGGTGGGTTGATGAGGCAGGTGGGTTGATGAGGCAGGTGGGTTGATGAGGCAGGTGGGTTGATGAGGCAGGTGGGTTGATGAGGCAGGTGGGTTGATGAGGCAGGTGGGTTGATGAGGCAGGTGGGTTGATGAGGCAGGTGGGTTGATGAGGCAGGTGGGTTGATGAGGCAGGTGGGTTGATGAGGCAGGTGCATTGATGAGGCAGGTGGGTTGATGAGGCAGGTGGGTTGATGAGGCAGGTGGGTTGATGAGGCAGGTGGGTTGATGAGGCAGGTGCATTGATGAGGCAGGTGCATTGATGAGGCAGGTGCATTGATGAGGCAGGTGGGTTGATGAGGCAGGTGGGTTGATGAGGCAGGTGGGTTGATGAGGCATGTGGGTTGATGAGGCAGGTGGGTTGATGAGGCAGGTGGGTTGATGAGGCAGGTGGGTTGATGAGGCAGGTGGGTTGATGAGGCAGGTGGGTTGATGAGGCAGGTGGGTTGATGAGGCAGGTGGGTTGATGAGGCAGGTGGGTTGATGAGGCAGGTGGGTTGATGAGGCAGGTGGGTTGATGAGGCAGGTGGGTTGATGAGGCAGGTGGGTTGATGAGGCAGGTGGGTTGATGAGGCAGGTGCATTGATGAGGCAGGTGGGTTGATGAGGCAGGTGCATTGATGAGGCAGGTGCATTGATGAGGCAGGTGGGTTGATGAGGCAGGTGGGTTGATGAGGCAGGTGGGTTGATGAGGCAGGTGGGTTGATGAGGCAGGTGGGTTGATGAGGCAGGTGGGTTGATGAGGCAGGTGGGTTGATGAGGCAGGTGCATTGATGAGGCAGGTGGGTTGATGAGGCAGGTGCATTGATGAGGCAGGTGGGTTGATGAGGCAGGTGGGTTGATGAGGCAGGTGGGTTGATGAGGCAGGTGGGTTGATGAGGCAGGTGGGTTGATGAGGCAGGTGGGTTGATGAGGCAGGTGGGTTGATGAGGCAGGTGGGTTGATGAGGCAGGTGGGTTGATGAGGCAGGTGGGTTGATGAGGCAGGTGGGTTGATGAGGCAGGTGGGTTGATGAGGCAGGTGGTTGATGAGGCAGGTGCATTGATGAGGCAGGTGGGTTGATGAGGCAGGTGCATTGATGAGGCAGGTGGGTTGATGAGGCAGGTGGGTTGATGAGGCAGGTGGGTTGATGAGGCAGGTGGGTTGATGAGGCAGGTGCATTGATGAGGCAGGTGCATTGATGAGGCAGGTGCATTGATGAGGCAGGTGGGTTGATGAGGCAGGTGGGTTGATGAGGCAGGTGGGTTGATGAGGCATGTGGGTTGATGAGGCAGGTGGGTTGATGAGGCAGGTGGGTTGATGAGGCAGGTGGGTTGATGAGGCAGGTGGGTTGATGAGGCAGGTGGGTTGATGAGGCAGGTGGGTTGATGAGGCAGGTGGGTTGATGAGGCAGGTGGGTTGATGAGGCAGGTGGGTTGATGAGGCAGGTGGGTTGATGAGGCAGGTGGGTTGATGAGGCAGGTGGGTTGATGAGGCAGGTGGGTTGATGAGGCAGGTGGTTGATGAGGCAGGTGGGTTGATGAGGCAGGTGCATTGATGAGACAGGTGGGTTGATGAGGCAGGTGGGTTGATGAGGCAGGTGGGTTGATGAGGCAGGTGCATTGATGAGGCAGGTGGGTTGATGAGGCAGGTGGGTTGATGAGGCAGGTGGGTTGATGAGGCAGGTGGGTTTATGAGGCAGGTGGGTTGATGAGGCAGGTGGGTTGATGAGGCAGGTGGGTTGATGAGGCAGGTGGGTTGATGAGGCAGGTGGGTTGATGAGGCAGGTGGGTTGATGAGGCAGGTGGGTTGATGAGGCAGGTGGGTTGATGAGGCAGGTGGGTTGATGAGGCAGGTGGGTTGATGAGGCAGGTGGGTTGATGAGGCAGGTGGGTTGATGAGGCAGGTGGGTTGATGAGGCAGGTGCATTGATGAGGCAGGTGGGTTGATGAGGCAGGTGCATTGATGAGGCAGGTGGGTTGATGAGGCAGGTGGGTTGATGAGGCAGGTGGGTTGATGAGGCAGGTGGGTTGATGAGGCAGGTGGGTTGATGAGGCAGGTGGGTTGATGAGGCAGGTGGGTTGATGAGGCAGGTGGGTTGATGAGGCAGGTGGGTTGATGAGGCAGGTGGGTTGATGAGGCAGGTGGGTTGATGAGGCAGGTGGGTTGATGAGGCAGGTGGGTTGATGAGGCAGGTGGGTTGATGAGGCAGGTGGGTTGATGAGGCAGGTGGGTTGATGAGGCAGGTGGGTTGATGAGGCAGGTGGGTTGATGAGGCAGGTGGGTTGATGAGGCAGGTGGGTTGATGAGGCACGTGGGTTGATGAGGCATGTGGGTTGATGAGGCATGTGGGTTGATGAGGCAGGTGGGTTGATGAGGCAGGTGGGTTGATGAGGCAGGTGGGTTGATGAGGCAGGTGGGTTGATGAGGCAGGTGGGTTGATGAGGCAGGTGGGTTGATGAGGCAGGTGCATTGATGAGGCAGGTGGGTTGATGAGGCAGGTGCATTGATGAGGCAGGTGGGTTGATGAGGCAGGTGGGTTGATGAGGCAGGTGGGTTGATGAGGCAGGTGGGTTGATGAGGCAGGTGGGTTGATGAGGCAGGTGGGTTGATGAGGCAGGTGGGTTGATGAGGCAGGTGGGTTGATGAGGCAGGTGCATTGATGAGGCAGGTGGGTTGATGAGGCAGGTGCATTGATGAGGCAGGTGGGTTGATGAGGCAGGTGGGTTGATGAGGCAGGTGGGTTGATGAGGCAGGTGGGTTGATGAGGCAGGTGCATTGATGAGGCAGGTGCATTGATGAGGCAGGTGCATTGATGAGGCAGGTGGGTTGATGAGGCAGGTGGGTTGATGAGGCAGGTGGGTTGATGAGGCATGTGGGTTGATGAGGCAGGTGGGTTGATGAGGCAGGTGGGTTGATGAGGCAGGTGGGTTGATGAGGCAGGTGGGTTGATGAGGCAGGTGGGTTGATGAGGCAGGTGGGTTGATGAGGCAGGTGGGTTGATGAGGCAGGTGGGTTGATGAGGCAGGTGGGTTGATGAGGCAGGTGGGTTGATGAGGCAGGTGGGTTGATGAGGCAGGTGGGTTGATGAGGCAGGTGGGTTGATGAGGCAGGTGGGTTGATGAGGCAGGTGGGTTGATGAGGCAGGTGGGTTGATGAGGCAGGTGCATTGATGAGACAGGTGGGTTGATGAGGCAGGTGGGTTGATGAGGCAGGTGGGTTGATGAGGCAGGTGCATTGATGAGGCAGGTGGGTTGATGAGGCAGGTGGGTTGATGAGGCAGGTGGGTTGATGAGGCAGGTGGGTTTATGAGGCAGGTGGGTTGATGAGGCAGGTGGGTTGATGAGGCAGGTGGGTTGATGAGGCAGGTGGGTTGATGAGGCAGGTGGGTTGATGAGGCAGGTGGGTTGATGAGGCAGGTGGGTTGATGAGGCAGGTGGGTTGATGAGGCAGGTGGGTTGATGAGGCAGGTGGGTTGATGAGGCAGGTGGGTTGATGAGGCAGGTGGGTTGATGAGGCAGGTGGTTGATGAGGCAGGTGCATTGATGAGGCAGGTGGGTTGATGAGGCAGGTGCATTGATGAGGCAGGTGGGTTGATGAGGCAGGTGGGTTGATGAGGCAGGTGGGTTGATGAGGCAGGTGGGTTGATGAGGCAGGTGGGTTGATGAGGCAGGTGGGTTGATGAGGCAGGTGGGTTGATGAGGCAGGTGGGTTGATGAGGCAGGTGGGTTGATGAGGCAGGTGGGTTGATGAGGCAGGTGGGTTGATGAGGCAGGTGGGTTGATGAGGCAGGTGGGTTGATGAGGCAGGTGGGTTGATGAGGCAGGTGGGTTGATGAGGCAGGTGGGTTGATGAGGCAGGTGGGTTGATGAGGCAGGTGGGTTGATGAGGCAGGTGGGTTGATGAGGCAGGTGGGTTGATGAGGCACGTGGGTTGATGAGGCATGTGGGTTGATGAGGCATGTGGGTTGATGAGGCAGGTGGGTTGAGGAGGCAGGTGGGTTGATGAGGCAGGTGGGTTGATGAGGCAGGTGGGTTGATGAGGCAGGTGCATTGATGAGGCAGGTGGGTTGATGAGGCAGGTGCATTGATGAGGCAGGTGGGTTGATGAGGCAGGTGGGTTGATGAGGCAGGTGGGTTGATGAGGCAGATGCATTGATGAGGCAGGTGGGTTGATGAGGCAGGTGGGTTGATGAGGCAGGTGGGTTGATGAGGCAGGTGCATTGATGAGGCAGGTGCATTGATGAGGCAGGTGGGTTGATGAGGCAGGTGGGTTGATGAGGCAGGTGGGTTGATGAGGCAGGTGGGTTGATGAGGCAGGTGGGTTGATGAGGCAGGTGGGTTGATGAGGCAGGTGGGTTGATGAGGCAGGTGGGTTGATGAGGCAGGTGGGTTGATGAGGCAGGTGGGTTGATGAGGCAGGTGGGTTGATGAGGCAGGTGCATTGATGAGACAGGTGGGTTGATGAGGCAGGTGGGTTGATGAGGCAGGTGGGTTGATGAGGCAGGTGCATTGATGAGGCAGGTGGGTTGATGAGGCAGGTGGGTTGATGAGGCAGGTGGGTTGATGAGGCAGGTGGGTTTATGAGGCATGTGGGTTGATGAGGCAGGTGGGTTGATGAGGCAGGTGGGTTGATGAGGCAGGTGGGTTGATGAGGCAGGTGGGTTGATGAGGCAGGTGGGTTGATGAGGCAGGTGGGTTGATGAGGCAGGTGGGTTGATGAGGCAGGTGGGTTGATGAGGCAGGTGGGTTGATGAGGCAGGTGGGTTGATGAGGCAGGTGCATTGATGAGGCAGGTGGGTTGATGAGGCAGGTGGGTTGATGAGGCAGGTGGGTTGATGAGGCAGGTGCATTGATGAGGCAGGTGGGTTGATGAGGCAGGTGGGTTGATGAGGCAGGTGGGTTGATGAGGCAGGTGGGTTGATGAGGCAGGTGGGTTGATGAGGCATGTGGGTTGATGAGGCAGGTGGGTTGATGAGGCAGGTGGGTTGATGAGGCAGGTGGGTTGATGAGGCAGGTGGGTTGATGAGGCAGGTGGGTTGATGAGGCAGGTGGGTTGATGAGGCAGGTGGGTTGATGAGGCAGGTGGGTTGATGAGGCAGGTGGGTTGATGAGGCAGGTGGGTTGATGAGGCAGGTGCATTGATGAGGCAGGTGGGTTGATGAGGCAGGTGGGTTGATGAGGCAGGTGGGTTGATGAGGCAGGTGCATTGATGAGGCAGGTGGGTTGATGAGGCAGGTGGGTTGATGAGGCAGGTGGGTTGATGAGGCAGGTGGGTTTATGAGGCAGGTGGGTTGATGAGGCAGGTGGGTTGATGAGGCAGGTGGGTTGATGAGGCAGGTGGGTTGATGAGGCAGGTGGGTTGATGAGGCAGGTGGGTTGATGAGGCAGGTGGGTTGATGAGGCAGGTGGGTTGATGAGGCAGGTGGGTTGATGAGGCAGGTGGGTTGATGAGGCAGGTGGGTTGATGAGGCAGGTGGGTTGATGAGGCAGGTGGGTTGATGAGGCAGGTGGGTTGATGAGGCAGGTGGGTTGATGAGGCAGGTGCATTGATGAGGCAGGTGCATTGATGAGGCAGGTGGGTTGATGAGGCAGGTGGGTTGATGAGGCAGGTGGGTTGATGAGGCAGGTGGGTTGATGAGGCAGGTGGGTTGATGAGGCAGGTGGGTTGATGAGGCAGGTGCATTGATGAGGCAGGTGCATTGATGAGGCAGGTGGGTTGATGAGGCAGGTGGGTTGATGAGGCAGGTGGGTTGATGAGGCAGGTGGGTTGATGAGGCAGGTGGGTTGATGAGGCAGGTGGGTTGATGAGGCAGGTGGGTTGATGAGGCAGGTGGGTTGATGAGGCAGGTGGGTTGATGAGGCAGGTGGGTTGATGAGGCAGGTGGGTTGATGAGGCAGGTGGGTTGATGAGGCAGGTGCATTGATGAGGCAGGTGGGTTGATGAGGCAGGTGCATTGATGAGGCAGGTGGGTTGATGAGGCAGGTGCATTGATGAGGCAGGTGGGTTGATGAGGCAGGTGGGTTGATGAGGCAGGTGGGTTGATGAGGCAGGTGGGTTGATGAGGCAGGTGCATTGATGAGGCAGGTGGGTTGATGAGGCAGGTGCATTGATGAGGCAGGTGGGTTGAGGAGGCAGGTGGGTTGATGAGGCAGGTGGGTTGATGAGGCAGGTGGGTTGATGAGGCAGGTGGGTTGATGAGGCATGTGGGTTGATGAGGCAGGTGGGTTGATGAGGCAGGTGGGTTGATGAGGCAGGTGGGTTGATGAGGCAGGTGGGTTGATGAGGCAGGTGGGTTGATGAGGCAGGTGGGTTGATGAGGCAGGTGGGTTGATGAGGCAGGTGGGTTGATGAGGCAGGTGGGTTGATGAGGCAGGTGGGTTGATGAGGCAGGTGCATTGATGAGGCAGGTGGGTTGATGAGGCAGGTGGGTTGATGAGGCAGGTGGGTTGATGAGGCAGGTGCATTGATGAGGCAGGTGGGTTGATGAGGCAGGTGGGTTGATGAGGCAGGTGGGTTGATGAGGCAGGTGGGTTTATGAGGCAGGTGGGTTGATGAGGCAGGTGGGTTGATGAGGCAGGTGGGTTGATGAGGCAGGTGGGTTGATGAGGCAGGTGGGTTGATGAGGCAGGTGGGTTGATGAGGCAGGTGGGTTGATGAGGCAGGTGGGTTGATGAGGCAGGTGGGTTGATGAGGCAGGTGGGTTGATGAGGCAGGTGGGTTGATGAGGCAGGTGGGTTGATGAGGCAGGTGGGTTGATGAGGCAGGTGGGTTGATGAGGCAGGTGGGTTGATGAGGCAGGTGGGTTGATGAGGCAGGTGCATTGATGAGGCAGGTGCATTGATGAGGCAGGTGGGTTGATGAGGCAGGTGGGTTGATGAGGCAGGTGGGTTGATGAGGCAGGTGGGTTGATGAGGCAGGTGGGTTGATGAGGCAGGTGGGTTGATGAGGCAGGTGCATTGATGAGGCAGGTGCATTGATGAGGCAGGTGGGTTGATGAGGCAGGTGGGTTGATGAGGCAGGTGGGTTGATGAGGCAGGTGGGTTGATGAGGCAGGTGGGTTGATGAGGCAGGTGGGTTGATGAGGCACATGGGTTGATGAGGCAGGTGGGTTGATGAGGCAGGTGGGTTGATGAGGCAGGTGGGTTGATGAGGCAGGTGCGTTGATGAGGCAGGTGGGTTGATGAGGCAGGTGCATTGATGAGGCAGGTGCGTTGATGGGTGTGTGAGAGCAGCTGCTGTGAGCGCATATGCATGCCGCGTTTCTCTTCCTTGGTGCTGCCAGGCATTGAGCTCATTCACCCCCACTCCATTCGTCCCTCCATTGAACTCGACCCCTCTTCCCCCCCTACCACCACCACCAGAGCCGTCCCCCTTGGCCCCACTGCCCCCATCGGACGTCTTTTGTGAGGGCTTCTCTCCGCTGCCCCTCGCGCCCTTCCCCCGCACTCTCCCCCGCCACGCGGCCCCACGGCCACAGCACCGCGAGGGGTGGGTGGCGGGGCCGGTGTTCCCGTGGAGCGAGGGCGCGGGGGGCGGGGGGCGGTGCGACGAGTACGGCGAGGTGGTGGACGCTGATGGGCTGGCTGCTGTGCTGGAACACATGCGCGGCCCCATGCGGGTGAGGGGAGAGAGAAGGGGGAAAGAGGGCTGACACAATGCGGGTGTGGGTGTGAGGTGGGGCGTGTGGTTGGGGAATGGAGGGGAGGCGGTGAGGTGGGTGCAGTGGCTGTGATGGGTGGCATGTGGGATGAGAGGCAGCGAGTGGAGCGCACAGGTTCGCTGCCATGTGAGCACTGCAGTGAGCGGCACTGTTCCCATGGCGTCCACATGAACTGCTTGCGCACTGGTTGCTCGTCCCTCAATCCCTTCCCACTCCCATTGCCTCTACTCCCCCTCCCTCCTCCCCCCTATCCCCCCTCCCCTCCTCCCCCTCTTCCCCCCTCCCCACCCCCACCAGCCAACGGTGAGTGTGATGGAGGCGGCGGGGGTGGACATGGCGGCGTTGTTGGAGGCGGAGGACGTGCTGGCGGGGCTGGAGAGGCCCAGCCGCGTGCGCGTCGAGCACGTCACGGTGCACGTCAACTGCGCCATCCGCTCCCTCGACTACGAGGGGCTAGCTGACGGCCGCTCCCTGCGCACCATGCTCGCCCACACCCACCCCCTCTCGCTCGTGCGTCGCCCTTCCCACCCCGCCTCCTCTTCCCCCTTTTTCCCTGTTGATCCCTCCGCATGCTTATATCCCCGCCTGCTCGTATTTCCATTTTTGGGTGTCTTAATGAAACCTCTTGTTCCATTGTCTAACCCTTTCCCCACTGGGTAACCCCTTACCTTCTCCCCCACCCATGCCCCCTGCGGTGCGATGGCAGGTGCTGGTGCACGGCACGGAGGAGGGCACGGCCGCCATGCAGCAGGCGGGCATTTGCAGCGACTGCATGGCGCCCCGTGCAGGCGAGAGCATCGACCTCACTCCCCACCTCGCCACCTTCCGCGTGAGACCCGCGTGCCACAGGACAGGGGTTGTGGAGGAAGGGGGGAGGGGGGGTGTCGCAGGGATAGGAGCAGTGTGTTGGAGGGTGTGGTGGTTGTAGGTTGTTGCATGGTGACATGGTAAGTAGCATGCGTAGGTACGTGGGTGCAAGGTGGGTGGGATATGGCTGTTGCATGCCCTCATCCTTTGTTTCCTCCGGCCCCCTCTCCTGTGCTGCCATGTGCCTCCCTGCCATGTGTGCTGGAGCGCAGGTGAAGCTGAGTGACGACCTGCTCAGGGGGCTGCACTTCCACAAGGTACACACGCCACTGCCTGCTCACTGCCTCCTTCTCATGCACTGTGCCACCACTGCATGTGCACATGCATGGATGCGCTGACCACTTTTCCCCACTACCTAGAACATTTCACACGCACACATACCCAAGCGTATGCTGCACGCCAGGTGGATCTCTCCAGCCCCAATGCCTGCATTTTCCCCTCTGTCGTCCTCCCCCCACCCCAGCTACGGGACGACTACGAGGTGGCATTCGTGGAGGGCCACCTGCACCCCTCCTCCTGTGTGCCGCCCTCCGCCTCGCTCTCCCTGCTGCCCCGCATCACCGGCCCCCCTCTGCCCGCGGCAGGAGGCCAAGGGGCAGAAGGGGAGGAGAAGGGGCAGGGGGAAGGTGGAGAGGGGGGAGGGGGAGTGGATGTGGGAGGGGCGAGTGGGGGGGGAGCACGGCCGCTGATGGAGCTGGTGCCGCTGGAGGGGGACGGAGAGGAGGCCAAGCGGCGGGCGGTGATGGTGGGTGATGTGAAGCTCTCGGAATTTAAAGTGCTGCTGCAAGCCCAGGGACTCCAGGTACCTACCCTTGGCCTGCATGTTACACCGCCAAACTTCATGTTTCAATGTGATGCCTATCTTCGTTGCGGGTGCACTTTTAACCCTTTTACCGCTATCTCTCATTGTCTTCCCCATGACTTCTTGATGCAGGCTGGGTTCGTGGAGTCGGCCCCTGTAGCAGCAGCAGGGTCTGCTGTTCTCAAGTGTGGCGATTCTCTTGCTCTAAGAAAGGTGAACTGCCATTCCATACTGTTTTTGCTAGAAGCACCACTCACTCCACCCCCACTAACACGTGTTGGTGATGTTTGTGCAGGTTTTAGACCACAGGCTTGTACTCGAAGGCTCGCTGTGTGACGACTACTACAGAGTTAGACAATTGCTGTACTCCCAATATTCAACATTGTAACTTGACATTTCTATTGTAGTGTGGAGCGTGGCTGCATTATTACGAGATATGTTTCAGTATTGGTTCAAGCAAAGACAAGAGGCATTGCCGTGCTTCGCACATACCATCTCGATTTCGCCTGCACATCTACTGAACCTTGTGTCAGAGGTCCACTGGTGATCCTCGATTGATCCTAGGGAAGGGTTACTGGCTCGTTGTCCTGGGGGGTTATGTGCGCACTGACCCGCTACTTAAAAAGCCCTTTTATCCCAATGGTCTAGTGGTTGGGATTCTGACATGGTATCAGAGCGGTTTCGGGCTCGAATCCCAGTGTGTGCACTTCGGGCATCCCAGTGCGGGGGGGTGTCAGAGGTCCACTGGTGATCTCCGATTGATCCTAGGGAAGAGTTACATGTTCATTGTCCTGGGGGGTTATGGGCGCACTGACCCGCTACTTAAAAAGTCATTTTATCCCAATGGTCTAGTGGTTGGGATTCTGACACCTCGAAGAACAGGGTGCTTGTGAGACTACAACGTCTATGTATGGTATTCACTGTACCGTATGACCCCGGATATACCATAATTGTTGGAAACAACTGATTTAGGCACCTCTGTCGTGTCGAAACACCAAGACAGAAGCGAAGCAGCTCGTATCGAAATATCGGTGAGTCAACCCTCGGAGGTTGAATAACTGTTGGAGGTTACGCGAAAGTCAAAGGTCAGCGACCTTTGACCTGACAAATGCAGCGCGACAGCAAGGACAAACAACTGTCTCGATACTGAGCAGTTGCCCGAGTCGACACTGTATCGAACCGCAACAGCAACAGTAAAACAGTTAACTGTATCTCTTCATATTCCTTTTGTATTCTTATAAAAGCTTGTATCTCTTTTATTATCATTAACTTACTTTGCCCTCACATACAAGCGCAAGGTGGTTCACAATCATTCATTAAACGCTTCCGCTATTACATCATCCTACCCTTGAGTTCTGCCCTGCAAAGATCCTAAGGGCTTTCTCAGCCCAACATGGTATGAGAGCAGTCAAGGCAAATTCGACTACAAACAAGAAATCTACAACATCGCAAGAAATGGCAACACAGAAGGAGAGAAGCTCCTCTAACGGCTCTCCTGGCACTACTCCTACTCCACCTCCTGCCTCTGGCCTACAGATAGAGGAGGGTACAGCAACAAGACCAAGGGCATCGTCTTCGGAAACTCCCGCAAATCAAGCTGCGGCCTTTGATCCAGACATGATGGAGAAGTTCTTCTCCTTCATGTCCTTCTACGAACAGCACCAGCAAGGGGCACCTGCACAGTCAAACAACAGCAACAACAACGCAACACCGATGAGCCTCGACGGTTCATCCTACGCACGTGGAAACCAACAGCAACGGCCTACCTTTGCCCCGTATGAGCCCCAGCGTGGCTCCGTCAGCTTTATGCCACACCCGCAGCCTGCATCCGGACAAGAAAAGACACTGGACGCACTTCAAGTGCAGTCGCAGTTCGCGCACGTCTTAAAACTACAGACGACAAGACCTTTCGACGGAAAGGATTTCTTTACCTGGTCATTCGAGTTCGAGTTAATGATGGAAGGCGCGCAGATCCTTGGCTTCTTCGATGGGTCCCTGCCATATCCAACACACGGCACACAGTACGACAAGCAGCAATACACGTATTAGTCAATGATGGCGTACACAATCCTGCTGAGAAATATCACTCCAAATCAGCAGCAGAACATACGGTCTTACCGGGGTTACGGCAACTCTGCAGAGCTCGCGTACAACCACTTGAAGAACCTGTATCAAGCAACAGACAGTGTAAATCAAAGTTGGCTAATGGCGCAACTGACAACAGTCGAGATGAAACCAGGCGAAAAGGGGATGGCGTATATCAGCCGTTGTCGCGAATTGCGCAACAAACTCCTTCGATGCGGAGGGTCGATTTCAGAAGACGCCTTCGTCACAGTTATAATCGGCGGCCTTGGTCCTCAGTGGCGCTCCACCCGCGCCATACTTCGAGCACATGGAAAGATATCAGAAGCAGCACTCTGCGCCGAAATCCATGCTGAGCAGCAAGACATGGATCTGCAAGAGGAACGACACAGGAAGAAGGCATCAGTGCCCGAATTTGCATTCCACACTCAACGACGCTACAACAACAACAATCGGCATCAACCGAAATCAGTACCTCCGTTCTGTCACCTTTGCAAGATGTCAGGGCATCCTCGCTCACACTGCCCTAACCGACAACAATCAGCACCGACGCAGCGGCAGCTTCGGCCTTCAAGCAGTCAAGTTACCTCAACGCAAGCAAGCTCGATCTCAACGACATCGACGGGACAACTTGCGCAAGAAACAAGAACCATTGTCAGTTGCATGACACGACTGACCGATTCTTGCATCACCGAGTCTCCACCACATTACTCACCGGAAGAACAACTCGACAACAGCACACCTCGTCACGAGTCACTTCAACCAAACCCAACGTACGCAGCCATCGCTCAAAGCGAGCCATCCGGGAAGGATACGTGGTTCTTGGACAGTTGCTGTGGTCAGCATATGTGCTCTTCAGGACGATTTGTTCAACGTGAACACCAACTTCAACGAGAGGTCGTCATCACCGTCGCCAACAATCAGAACCTGCGCACACGACGCCAAGGCGTAGTGCAACTTCAATCACGAGAGACAAACGTTATACTGCAAATGTCAAAGGTTTTGATAGCAGAAGGACTCGGCTACAACTTACTGAGCGTCAGTCAGCTGATGGCGAAGGGCATACACCTCGAGGCCGACAGCACCACTCAGGAGTTTAAGTTATACCACGGCAAGGGTGGTCTCTACATCAGAAAAGCAGTCTTGAAAAACAATGTCTTCGTCCTCGACTTCGTCCCAGATCTCGGCACCGCCGACAGCGACGGGATCGTCACCTTCACCTCTTGGACACATCCACCGGATCTTGACCCCGACTTCAGTCCAGAAGGCTTCTGGTATTCGCACACCATCCCTGAAGCAGAACGAACACGAGCATTAGCGACAATTCAACACTCGGCAGCAGCAGAAATAACATCGGCAGCAGCAGAAACAACAT